TATCTGTTAATCTTCGCAAAACAAAATTTTAGAAACAACAGCTGACATTGATTAAAAGAGTGGGTAGGAATTCTGTGAAAACCCGGTACTGCATACAAAATCACATTTATTTTTACAGGCCTGAAACGCCTTTCACTTACTAATTTCAGGCTTGTTTTTCTACATGAACAGCTAGTGAAATCCATGTTTGTGCAGCTTAAGCTAGTTCTCTTGTTTATTTGTGTAACAGAAGAACAGAGCATTGTTTAATAAACATTCCAAGAACATGATAATGTCAACATTATCTGCTTGTCCCATTGTGCAAAGACAACTTTCTTGTAATTATTCTAGGACATTCTTAAGGTGAAAGGCTTTTATAGCTCACCAAAATCAGACTTAAGAGACTCTGCTTGCTTTAAAAAGGCATCTTGGGTTTTTGTGTGGTTGTTTGGGTTTTTTTTAAGCTAATATATATTTAGGAATTCTTTTAGTTGAACTGTATGGGAGCCTTTTGTTCTTCCTCCCCAGGGTCAGGTACAGTAGACAAGAGAAGTGCTTATATGCTGAAATTTCTTCTTGCCCTATACGTAGCAGAACACTTGAACTACCTTTTTTCTTTGTTTCCGTAGCTTATAAAAATGCAATCTCAGTAGCTTCTGTCAAAATGAAAATGAGTGACATGTGAACTATAGTGGACAAATCTTGCAGTAAAAAGTAAATAAACCTGACTTGTAGGCAGAATTCATTTTTGTTGTATCTGACAGACTGTTAGGGTATAGGAAGTAACCCTTACTCATGAATACTGAGTCCCATTATACTGTGCTAAAACACTTCATACTCTGAGGTGAAGAAAATGTACGTGTAAATGTAGTCTAGCAGTTAGTTTTGTGCTCTTGTTTTGGAGAGAAGTCTTCATAGATACTACTGTTCAGAAACCTCATTCAGAATGAGAGTCAGAGTTCCAGTGAGTGTGTATGAGGGATGTGACTTCTCTGCACAGAGACAGTGTAATGGATGAGTTGCCGTGGGGACAGCAAAGAACCAAAAGAAAGACACCTTAGGAGAAGAGGAACAATGAAACTTCCCTCGCAAAGTGTTCGGTCAATGTGAGTTGTAATGGGATTGGGATGGTAGGCAACAGTAGGGAAGAGAGCCAGTTTTCATTTGCTGGACAGATTAGTTACCTTCCATTCAGACACTTTTTTCTTTGAAATATGTAGCTTCCTTCCCCTTTGCATCCCCTTGCCTTTTGTCTCTGAAATTGTGGTTCTCCTGCAGGCAAACATTGACTAAATGTCAAAAATTAACCTCCAAGTCATCATCCTTCTGCCTGGCTGTAGTTCTATTTGGAAGCTCTTTGAAAATGGCTTTTTTTTTTTTTTTTCTTCCCATTTTTACCTCTTTGGGTACAGATCAGTTCTACAGGCTTAAGAGCTAGTCAGTGGTTCTGCACCTTACTGTGGATGAGGAAGTCAGAGTGGCCAAGTATGATCTAATCCATCTGACCAGACTGATGTCAGAAGTGATTCTGTTCCTGAATGTCAGTTATTTTCAGGTAATGTGAAGAACTGCTAGAACGTAAGGGTAGAATGACTGTATTTTCCTTCCAAGAAGAATATTTTAAAAGGGCACTCCTCTCACCATTGCCCCAGTCTGGATTCTTACGAATGCACTTATAATTAATGGTTAGAACTGGGAACCGCTAGAATGAGAAGATACGTCCCAACTTTTCAAAAAATTGATCTCTGATTTGACAAATGTTTTTTTTAAACACACAGTGTATGAGGTTGGGCAAGAAATGAGTATTAAGCACAAAATAATAGCCATTTTGAAACATAGCGAAAGGGAGAAGGAGCTACAGCTCTTGGACAAGAGTTTATATTCATAAAGGGGGCATTTTCAGGAAATGGCAAGGCATGTTTGCATACCTCTGAGCTGCTGCTGTCCAGCACAGCCCAGGTTAGCAGGAGATAGTCTGAGTTCTGATGCTGCTTTGACTCCTTGTTCCTGATGTGTTGATGAATATACCAGTTCCCAAAGACTCTGGTGCGTAGTGTTTAATAATTAGTGTAGAGTTCCTCCAGTGCAAAATGCCAAGTGTACTCAGGACTTTTTTTATATGTTAAAACTGGTCAAGTTCTTGATCGCATTAAAATGGTTAGTTGATGAACTTCAGGATTGCTGCTAATGGCATGTGGTACTATATATGTTAGTTCTTGCTCACCATGATGGAAATACTGTAGTGTTGTGACGCTACATGATCTCAGGCTTGCCTGTGAAGCTGGAAATGGAGAGAACCAGATGGGAGAAATCTGCAAAGTCTATAAAGTGCTGATGAGGTCTGGAGAGTCATACAGAAGAGCAGGGGGACTTAATGCAGTTTTGGCACTGCGGTCTTTTAATGACACTTTTAATAAAGCCACATTATCTCTTTAAAGTGAAGCACCTCCCTCCCAACCCTCACCCCCCCCAGTTGCCTCCATGTGGAGCACTAAATTCAGCAAAATGGCTTTGGGAAAAATTGTATAAATGGTACTGTAAGGGAAGATCAGGTTCATGACCACCTGAGGAACCTAAGCACACCTAAGTCCATGAGACCTGATGAGATGCGTCATAGAGTCCTGAGGGAATTGGCTGATGTAGTTGCCAAGCCACTCTTCATGGTATTTGAAAGGTCATGGCAGTCAGATGAAGACCCTCGTGACTGGAGAAAGGGAAACATTGTGCCCATTTTTAAAAAGGGTAGGAAGGAGGACCCTGGGAACTACCGACCTATCAGCCTCACCTCTATGCCTGGGAAGATCATGCAACAGATCCTCCTAGGAGCTATGCTAAGGCACATATGGAGGCCAGGGAGATGATTCGAGACAGCCAGCATGGCTTCACCAAGGGCAAGTCCTGCCTGACCAACCTAGTGGCCTTCTGTGATGGAGCATCAGTGGACAAGGGAAAAGCAGCGGATGTGATCTGTCTGGACTTCTGTAAGGCCTTCGACACGGATCACCACAACATCCTTCTCTCTAAATTGGGGAGATATGGATTTGATGGGTGGGCTGTTTGGTGGATGAAGAATTGGTTGGAAGGTTGCAGTCAGAGGGTAGTGGTCAAAGACTTGGTGTCCAAATGGACTCTGGTGATAAGTGGTGTTCCTCAGGGGTCCGTACTGGGACCGGTGCTGTTTAATATTTTCATTAATGACATAAACAGCAAGATCGAGTGTACCCTCAAAAGTTTGCAGATGACACCAAGCTGAGTGTTGCAGTTGACACATCAGAAGGACAGGGTGTTATCCGGAGGGTCCTGGGCCAGCTCTAGAAGTGGGCCTATGGAAACCTCATGAGATTCAACAAGGCCAAGTTCCCTGTGAGGAACACGTTCAAAGTTCATGTCACTGCAATATCAAGATAATCACTTAAATGTTTGAATAAAAAATAGTAGTCAGCCTCCTGTTTTGGAGTGAGTTTTAAATTGGACTGCTTTGGAGCCTGCATTTTGAGATGTCAATTTGTAACAAATGCTGCTCTTTTGACAGGAGGAATTACACTGCCTGAACCTCTTCGTGAAGCTGAAGAGGGGACAGGACAGGAAGGGGCTTAAAAACCCGACCAATAATAAATGATCATAAATAAATAATGATTATATTTACTGTGGAGAAGCATTATAGACAGCGGTTTCAATTATCAGGTTATTTGGAGGGTGGCTGGTGGTCTGCTGGTTGGAAAGTAATAACTGAATATTGGCTGAGAATGGTGATCAGAGTCTTCTGGGTAAGATTGTTTTGTGAAATATTACTGAATCCTTTGTGGGGAAAATTGTCTTTGGACCAAAATCTCCATATTATTTATTTATTGATTTTAACATATGTAATGATGTGGTAGTCTTGGTCAGGCTTGGTGAAAGTGCTCTTTCACTTGGAACACCTGAAAACATGATCATCAGATTTCAAATTTGTAAATCTAACATTCAATTCTTCTGCTTTTTTCAAATCAAAAGTATTTTTAGTTAATATAGTAGATATTAGTAGGGTTGGTTGTAAGGCACAATCATTTGTATCAGTGTGCGGAAATCTTCCATCTGCAGTTTTTGTGAGGCTTCTGCTCTTGAATCTTTTGGCCAGCTAAAATGACATTGTGGGCCCTTTTATCATTCTCTTGCTCTCTAGAATACTGTTGTTTGTGCTCTTAATTTTGTTACTGGCTTCCTGGCTCTAACTTTTTAGTAGATGTGCATTCCTTGTTCTAGGACTTTCATCCTTGAGTGTTATATTCTCCTGCTTATTGGATTCTGCTCACTATTGTTTCCACAAGTTTCTTCAGGATTTAATCTTCCCATTTTAATCTGTGGTTAATGTCCAATAAAGCTTGCATAGAGATACCATGAAATTTTTACTCAGACATTACAGTACTCAGTCAGCTGACTGTGTGTGTTCAGTATATCAAATTAGTTAGTGACAGTGTGAACTTAAAAGAAAATACAATTAGTCCATGGAATGCAAGTGACAGGAGGATCGACAAGTCTGAAAGCACGGTTTTGCTTGTTTGTACCTAAGCTTCATCCTGTTACCCTTTTAAATTTTTGTTTTACTAAGTTCCTGCTAAATGCTTTGTACCATTTTAGGTCTATACCCCCTTTTCAAAAATGTATTTTTAGATGCCTCTGTCTGCAGCCTAGAAATTTTTTTTTTCCTAATTTACGTAAACTTTTTTCTTCATGCTTTTTCTTTTCTCTGAGATGTTTTCATAACTCCATGTTTTTTGTCTCTTCTGTCTTGAACCACTGTTTGCTTGTTACGCAAGTGTTGTGATGCACTTCCAAGCATGGAGGAAGAGCAAACTGGCACTTCTGTTGCTTGATTTAAATTGTAGACATCTGCTTGATATCTGCAGATACCCATGTATTTCAGTTTATAGTGACCTACATGGATAGGCTGCGTGGACTACACTGTTTCATACTTCACTGACGTGCTATAAGTAGCTACAGTTTTACTTAATTCTTGTTTCTTTTTTATTTTTTAGGCATACGCATCAGGATGTGATATTGTGGTATTGGGGACTGACTTTGAAAGATTACAGATAATCCCTGGAGCAAAACATGGAAACATTCAAGTGGGATGTGTGGACTGTTCAATGCAACAGGGGAAGGTATGCAGAGCAGTGTTTCTAATAGTGTCCTAACAATGTCACGTTAAGCGCCTTCTCAAGAGTGTGGATACTTGCAAATTAAGGCATATACACAAGAGTCAGCAGAAAGATGGCTGATTGCTTCATGTCTTTACTTGTGGTAGGCAGCACAGTGAAGGTGAAATAGTAACCATAATATGAGATTGTAGAAGATACGTAGGGCTGCACAGGAAGATACAGATACACACAGGGCTATATAGAGGAGATAGAAAGAATATGACTTAAAAGTGGGTAAGGTGAAAGCAAAGGTGATTTATTCACTATGGCTTTGCGCTACTAGGCATGTCATAGACATGCTTTGACCTGTTAGTGGCTGGCAGTGCATGAGTGCTTCCACAAAAATCACTTTCAGGTCATCCAGAAAAATAACATCCCTTTGAAGCAATTCATAAAGGCTTAAAATTTCTCTTGCACAGGGTTTTGCTTTCTTGAATTCTCAACTTTTATTTTTCATATGTAGGTAAACTGAATCAGAAATGTTGTATTTAGACACTACTAGTTTTCAAGTTTTTTTACAGAGGTCTTTCTTAATTGTTCTGTCACAGTAAAAAAGAAAGAACCGAGTGACTCTTTAGGATGTCACAATGTGGTTAAGCTGTTCACCAATTCAGTAGGAACTGTGTCTGGGTACATGTTGGCTCATCTAAGAGAGTTTTTTACTTTATTGCTTTCTTTAAACCTGTTCCAGGGAGGAGATAATGTGAGCCTTCTGCACATCACTACAGGTGTTAGGAGTTGATGGGAGCTTTGGTTAGATTCCTGTGTACATCTTGAGTCAAAACCTCTGCATGGAAACCAGTTCATAATTACATGTGAAGTTTATGATGATGATACCCAACTAGTTTCTGTTCCTGCTTTTTAACTTTTGAGTAATGGACTCTTGCAATGGTAGTGGAGGAACATAAATGAAAAAGAGGAAACGTTCTCCTCTGTGCCTCTAGTACCTTTTAGCCATAAAGACTGCATGTGTTTCTCCACTGGCTGCTCCTAAGTAGAAAGTTCTTTTGAGTTCCCTGGCGATATATTAACAGATGGTGAAATACACATGCAGATCACATATCACAGTTAATCTTATAAATTTTTTTCTGCAAATTTCAAGGTCATCCTGACTGCGAGATAGCAGGTCTACATGCATTTAAATAACAATCTGTCCTTGAATTCTAAATTAACACATATGAATATATCAAATGATCAAGCTTACTAAGCTTTAGAATTTTTTTTGTTTCTTAAGTAGACCTATGTGGTCACTTTAATTCTGCAAGTTGGTATTGTTTGCTGTTAGTAATTAGACTAGATGTATTTGCAGAGTGCTGAAATACTAAGCAATGAATGGCTAGAAATCTACTTATTGACCAGACTGATCAATACATTTCGAGTTCACTGTTGCAGGGATGGAATTTCTTCTTGCATCTACTACATCAGTATTGATACACAGTTTTCTTTTCAGCTTACCTCCAGATTATTTTTTGTTGTTTAAGATCTATAGGAAGAAGCAGAATGCAAATAATGTAGCTTAATTAGGGTGCAGTTTTGAACCTTTCTAGAAGACACTTAGTTATAATTTGTAGTTCATGGGTTGTGTACCTTTTTAATTTTTTACTTCACGGAGAGCTGCTATCAAGCTTTTTCTCCATAATAGCTGGCCTTTACTCTCTTTGAAGGATCTCTGTCATTGTCCCTTTGGATGACAGAATTGGTTTATGAAAGAGTTACTTTCTAGTTGTGAAAGTAATGAGTTGAATTTTTTCTCCATTCTTGCCCCATAAGTCTAATTGTAGTTTGTTGGGGAGCTAGTGCCTTGTGGAGCTGCTTTGAAGTAGCAGTATCTTAAAAGTTCATTTATGACTCACCTCTCCCCTGGCTTTGAAGAATGGGGGGTCATGGCACCAGCTTTTCTCTTCCCAGTCGTCTTTTGAAGATAATCTTAGTTCTCTGTCTCCAAGAATGAGATGAGGGGGGAAAAAAAGATGAGAGTTTATAATAATTCCAAGAAAGCATGCATGTATATGTTTATATTTACATATATTTGTATATGTAGGTGTATAAACTGTTTTAAAAAGTCTCCCGTGGATTTGCAAGGACTAATTTCATGAACAGGACAAGTTAATCTTCACAGAATCACACATTTTGTGATTCTGTAACAGGACAAGTTAATCTTAGGCCACTGAATGCAGTCTTTTGCCTCTGGTTGTAAACAACTTGGTAATCAACAATTACTTGTAAGTGGGTACGGTACTTGATCTTCTCCCACATAATGTGAGCTACAAGTCTCTTTCTACTTCCTCTAGTGAGCATAAGAATTAAGGCCAAAACTTTTGATGTTAACCTGAGATAACTTTAATTGTTTCCCTGGTTTGGCTTGTAGAAATATCTAACAAGTACAAGAAGTAGAAAAATGAGTGAAACGAGTAGGTGTCTTAAGATACATTTAAATATAAGAAGAAGTAAAACTACTAGTTATTTTGAGTATGAAAGCTCAGTTTTGAACCCAGGGTTTATAATTTCATGAACTGTTCTAGGGTGAGGGGGTGTATGTTTGTTTTTTAGTAGGTGGTCTGTGGGTTCTTTTCAAAGCAAATCTGATTGTTTTATTTTCTGCTATTTGGTAGTGAATGATAATGTAACTTAGTACAAGTTACAGATCTTTTGATGAACGAGAAAAATGTTGCTGTCTTCTATGCAATAGGGAGGCCTGGTGGAGAAAAATGTAAGCATATCAAGAAACTTCCTGGATTATACTAAAACTATAAAGTGCGAACCTCATGCTTACAGTTATATTCCTACTTTGGACAAAGTTGTTTGCTCAAGCACTGATGCTTTATTTGTATCTAGCAGTGCAAGAATTATAGTGTCCTGTAATGGTTTGGGTTGGAAGGGACCTTCAAAGATCATCTAGCCCAGCCCCTGCCCCCGTGTTGTGGGCAGGGACATCTGTCACTAGATTGCATTGCTCAGAGCCCCATCCAACCTGACTGTGAAATTTTCCAGGGATGGGACATCTACAGCCTCTCTGGGCAACCTGTTCCAATGTCTCACCATCCTCATCGGGAAAACTTCTTCCTTATATCTAGTCTAAATCTACTTGCTTAGTTTAAAACCATAACCGCTTCTCCAGTCGCTACATGCTGTTGTAAGAAGTCCCTCTCCAGCTTTCTTGTACGCCCCCTTCAGGTACTGGAAGACTGCAGTAAGGTCTCCCAGGAGCCTTCTATTCTCCAGGCTGAACAGCCCCAACTCCCTCAGCCTTTCCTCATAGGAGAGGTGCTCCAGCCCTCAGATCATTTTTGTGGCCCTCCTCTGGACTCACTCCAACAGGTCCATGTCTTTCCTGTGCTGAGGGCTCCAGAGCTGGATGCAGGTCTCACCAGAGCAGAGAGGCAGAATCCCCTCCCTTGACCTGCTGGCCATGCTGCTTTTGATGCACCGAGGATGGGGTTGGCTTTCTAGGCTGCAAGCGCGCATTGCCAGCTCGTGTTTAATTTTTTCATCCACCAGCACTGCCAAGTCCCTCTCCTCAGGGCTGCTCTCAATCCCTTCATTCCTCAGCATGTATTCTACTGGGGATTGCCCAAGGTGCAGGACCTTGCTATTGGCCTTGTTGAACTTTGTGAGGTTCACAAAGGCCCACTCCTCAAGCTTGTCCAGGTCCCTCTGGGTGACTTCCTGTCCCTCTAGCAAATCAGCTGCACCACTCATCTCAGTGTCATCTACAAACTTGCTGAGGCTGCACTCGCTACCACTGTCTGTCATTAGGAATGACTGTAAACTCTCTTACAACTCAGAAAGTCTTCTCTGCACAGCTTAGTTCTAATAAAAGGACTACAATAAACATTTGGTTGATGTCTGGGTGATTATTGTGGTAGTTTGGGACATTCTTCAGCACATTAATTTGTGTTATTCTTTTTGGCAGCATGCTGCTCAGTGAGGACTACTCTGAATGGTTGTATCATTATGGAAGCCTGTGCAAGCTTTCAGGGGGTAGCATTTGCTCTGGACGCTATTTGTTTAGCATTTTGGAAGGCTAATTTTAGTTTGTCTTAAAAACCTACGAAAGAAAAAAAATGAAAGAACTGTCCACAGCTGGAAAAAAGAGAAAAATCTAATCTGAGTTTGTATAAACTTCGTGGTGCTGGGGTGTGGAATGAAATTACAACAATAAAAGAGTGAGGTAGTTAAAGAGAATTAGAGAGGGCAAATATTAGTCAGAGATGTAAGGAAAAGATTTCGTTAGGCATTTTGCAACTGACAAAATTATTGTTGGCACTTTGGGGTCAGGCTGATGGTTAGGTTGTTAGTATGATAGAAATTTGTTTAACTGTCAGTTCTTTTTAAGGCAGAGGGTTTCTCTTGAAGCTAGAGATATATAGATTTTAGGATCTGTATGGAGCTGTACAGATTGTGTACATCTAACTAACTTACCTGTAAATAACATTAACAACTTAGGTATGACAGTTTAATGCTTTTTTTTCTCTTGAAGCTGTTGTGACTCATACTGAAATCAAAATGCATTTTATAAAGTGACTCTGACTCTTTAATGTTGTCCTGATTTACTTATTTCTCATCTCAGTAGCTGCTGTGTTTTGGATTTAATATCAGAAGAATGTTCATATGTTCATAACACTCATGTTTTCAGTTGTTGCTATAAGAACAAGGGCTTTTTCCAGTTTCTCATGTTCAGTTAATGAGCAGGTGTGCAGGAGCTGGGATGGAGCATGGCCAGGCAAATAGCTGTACCTGCTGGGTTAACTTTCTTGCTTTTGGGGATTTGAATCCACTCTTGTCTGGGAGTTCAAACTTTTTTGAGAGTTCAGTCTCTTTTGGGAGTCTGTGAAATTCGCAGGATTTGTGATTTCTGGGTTCCACGATCGCTGCTCGGGGACCAATTGCAAATCAGTCATTGTGTGGTGAGAAAATTGTATAATTTGTTTTGCATATTCATTATTATTATTACTATTATTAGTACTGTTATTTCCTTTATTGCCTTATTAAACTGTCTTTATATCAACCCAGGAGCTTCCCCTTTTCTCAGTTTCTCCTCCCTGTCTTGCTGGGGCAAAAGGGGAGGGACAAGCAAGTGGCTGTCTGGTGTTAGCTCCTGGCTGCTGGGTTGGACCGTGACAGTTGTTAAAGGAAAACTGTGAATACTTTCTGAGCCAGAATTTCACAGAAAGAGGAGATTGACTATTAGAGCATATCAGAATTGTAGATGTGCTCCTTTTAACATCAAGCATCACCTCAGAATGCAGGATGTCTGTTATGCAGACCTGTGCAAACTCCTTCATTTCTGTAAATCTGCATTTCAAGTGGTTTTAGGCAATATTGTCTTGTGACCAGCTCTTTCGGGCTCTCTGGCTGAGGTCTTTAGTGTACATTTGGCTTGTTTTGGCTCTTCTTAGAAAGTCTTCTGAAGTTGCTTTTAATAGATATCTTCAGATAAAGTGCTCAATTTTGTTTTATTGCGGGTTTGGGGTGGCTGATACCACTGATGGAATAAGACTTTGAAATACCAGTTAAAGCCGACTGTATTGCAACTTTTTTTTTTGAAGTATTGTGTTAGCATTTAGTGGTTCTTCTGTTTTGCAGTTTTCTGCACTGTGTGTTTAGCTTGTGTAGCTCGAATCTTCTGAATTATCTTTTTATAATACAGCATGTTCTCATGCCAGAGAAGTACACAAAAGTGCCTTGAACCGATGTTGGTTCGATTTCTGAGAATGTGAACTCTGCAGGCTCCTTTAAGTGTTTACCTAATTTAATATGGAAAGCATGCAAATAATAGATCTGATTTTCTTTTTTTTAAAAAAGCTCATGTCACCTGTGCTTTCAGTAGTTCTTCAGGACTGATGTATAAATAAAGAACTGTATTTTTATTATTGTCAACACTTGCTTCGTGATTTTTGCTAGATGTTGTTTTTCTGTTGTCGAAAGGGAGTATGTATATGAGCTTCACATTTATCTGCAAGGAGGGTCAAAAATAGAATCAATAGTTTGCATTTTATTCTTGTTTGTTCTATATCTTGTTTTTTCTGTATGTGTTTATGTACATATAAATACAAATTTGTTTAGATTGCAGCTTCTTACGGAAAGGTGATTTGTATCTTTGAGCCAGTTACCCTCTTGAAGCAGAACAGCAGTCGTCATAATGTAAGTAATTCATCACTCCTTAGTTCATTTACTCAGAGCGTGACTCATTTTTCTGGTTCACCTTAAGCTGAAGATTTCTTGTATGTCTTCTTTTAGTTCTAGAATAAAATGTAGATGTAACTTGGTCCTTGGGAAGTGAAAATGGTAGAAGGAGGGCAGAGATACGTTATTTGAAATGGTTTTTAAAAAAATAGGTTTTACTATAATGCTTCACATTACTGATAATGTAACGCTAGAATTCATAACTGAACTATTCCAGAACCCAAAAAGACGTGCATGTCCCTGTTCTCCAAAAGGTATAGTCGTCACAATAGGAATTATTTTTTGAACCATCTTGTGTAACATTTATGTCCTGATGTGTTTTACAATTAATTTGAACTTTGGTTTATGAAACTGCATCCTCTTGGTCAGATCTATAATAGTTTCAAAACGTCTGTGTCTTTTTTTAGAATATCTAAACGAATGCTTGTACTTTGGTGTTATTATGGTGAATAAGAACATTATTTATGCTCTTGATGGCATGGCTTAGTTTTGGTGACAGTTGTTTAGTGAATTAGCGGCCAGAATTTTAATTGTTGTTATTTAACTGTGCTTGTTACATGGACAGCATTACTCTTATAATTAGAAGCATTAGAGTCTAATTAAAGTCAATTTGATGATATGAGAGCTTTGGCAGGATTGCTCAAGGAGCTTCTGTCTACCTCTTGAGGGGGGTGGTCTTTGCATTTGTGTTAATAAATTGTTTACACGGCCATATAGTGGATTCTCTGCTTTATACTAACAGGCTCAGTCATGTGGTACCTGATGTACCTGTAAACCAGTGGTATTTTATATATTAATTAAAAAGGTTTTATTGAATATATGTAATCACTTATACCACTAGAAAGCAGTAGAATAAAACAATGGCGAAACGTGACTTCTACTGCTCATATGAACTTTGTAGAAGTACTGCTCCCTCTTTTGATCATTGGAGCTGTTGAATCCATGCCGAATATTTTTCCGTGCTGGTAAATAGTACACTTACCTTGAAATTTTGAAGTTAGTGTAGTAACTGTAAGCAGTAGAGGAAGCACTCCACCCATTATTTGCTTTCAAATTTGTAACTGAAGAAATAATTCTGTTACTTCGTTCTTGCAGTTAACCTCTGTGCAATAGTTTCCAGCATATTTAGGTGGTTGAAAGATTGTTTCTGTCCTCTGTTTACTAGAATGTTCAGGAACTAAAAAAAAAAACCCAAAAAACTGGAAAAACCAGCTTCAGAAATATTTCATTTAGATCCTTATCTGCAAGTACTTCTTACTGTTTTCTACCAAACTTCTGAAAGATTTAGTTGTTATATTTTAACTTTCAAATGGTTTGGTATTTTTGGAGTGGGGGATGATTGCTTTAAAAATATCTGTGAATTAAGAAAAAGTCCTGTTGGCTTTTAATATTATTTCCAGTAATGATTTCAGTTTGTTTTATAACTAAAGCATCAAGACTTTGCAACCTGTTATGAAAACAGACTAGATAAGTATTTGTGAACTTTGTCCTCAGCTTGTTCCAGTGAATGAAGTGATGATGCAAAATCTGAAGATAGATGACTGTCCTGTTGTACATTTTAAAAAAAGAAGAAAGGGGAGAAGTATCATACATGTTATCATGACCTTATTGAAATCCTTTAGTACAACAGTACTGATATCAAGCACAAGGTGCATTTAATGCATTTTGGTTTTATCTTTTTTTTCCAAAAATAAAATTAGACTTCCCTTTTAAAACTCTCAGATTCTGATGATGATTTAATGTACTGAATTTTTTTCCAGCTATATTTTTAAAATGAGAAGTTAGAAACTTTTATTTGTATGGTCGGATTAATGGAAAGCCATTTTATTTAAAAATCAGAATGAATCAATTTTTATTAGATAAGCAGTAATTTATTTTAAACACATCCTTCGTAAAAGTTGGAGAATGCAGTGAAGATATACTATTTCTATTACAGAAGGGGAAGGAAGCATTTTCATGCTAATTAGTTTTCATGCTACTTAAAATTTCAGACATTACACTATCAGTGGCAGAAGAATGCTCAAATCTTACTGGAAACCATAGCACATAATCTAACGTGGGATCCCACAGGTAAGACTAGGATAAAAGAAACACCTACCTAGCTGATAGCACAACTAATTTTCAGTTTATATTGCTCCATTCTTTGGGGACAAGGAAAACATTTTTGTTTTGTCCTAGCAGGACAGAGAACAGCAAAGTGAAGTGAAATCTACTTTTTGTCACTTGCTATAGGAGAGCCAAAATATTAGGTGTATCTGTATGGTCCTACTCAATTATTCTAGTCTCAGCAGTATCTAATGTTTAAAAACATGGCTTAAATGCTAAGTATTTGTTGTGAAAGAGGGGGGTCTACAGTAGCTCTAGGTGTTTCTTTTAGAGAATGGCTACTCTAAGAACTTGATTAATTTTCGCAATTTGAACTGTAGATACTCAAATCAAAATGTCTTACAATATGAGAGTATCTTCTTGCAAGGTGGACCTAGTCTATATCCATGTAGAGGAATGCATAAGAGGCACACTGCTGTTATAGCAACTTTGTAGAAAAGGTGTTAAGATAATATATGGCATATTTTGTTTTGCAGTTTCAGTTTTGCAAAACTGTTTTCTTTTTTTTCTCTCCTTATAGAAGTCTGTATTTTGCTGCTTGTTTTGTAGTTATGTTATAAATATTTGTTTTAGGCACTCGCCTTTTGACTGGTTCCAGTTGTCTTCAGCTTTGGTCCAATGTTCCTTTGGAAAACCCTTCTGACAATGACAGTACTGAAAGAACAGATGTTGGACTTGGAGAATGGAGGTGTATCTGGCAAAGCAAGTAAGAAACTTATTTAAAGACAAGATATTTCTTCTTCCATGCCGGTTTGTAACTTTCAGATGAAGTACTTAGTGTAGTTCAGTGAAATCCTATTGCATACTGTTATTTGATAAATGTTATTGATATGTGATAAACTTGAATAATTTTTCCCTTGAATATGTGACATTTCTTTCTACATGATCAGTTGTAATTGGTTTTGGGGTAGTTGATGTTATTAGGCAGTTCTTTAACTATATTGAACACTAGTACAATACTGAGGGAAGTCCACCATTGAGACTGTCCTAGTAGACTTTGTTCCTTATACAAGAAGTAAGGTGAAAGCTACCTACTTGAAAATTATTGTGCTTGCAGGACTGATTAAAATAAACCTGCTTCTATTGTCTAATGTACCACACCTTTCTTTCCTTCTTATAAATCTCCCTCCTTTCATACACCCTTTACTTTTTCTTTTTTTATTCTGGATATTTGGAACAGTCATGCAAAGGTGGGTGCATTCTGTTTTACTGCATCTCTGAATGCTCTTCTTACATTCTTGTTGATTTAATCTTTGTGTGGGTGTATTGGCACATTCAGAAGAGTTTTAGTTAGTATTTCGTTTTGTGAGGCAATTTGAATCATGGTCCTTCCTGCCATAGGAAGACTTTTCTAATACATCAGGTGCACAGTTCAGTTGGGACTAGTGTACCATACGGCAGTCTCCTTAAAGAAGTCTAAAGTGGCCACCTGGAGGGACCCACCTGAAATTGTTCTTTATGAAGCACTTTGGCATTGGTTGGATAGTTCCCTGAATGTACCTGAAAAAATCCTTTTTTAATCCTTCCGTTGTTCCTTTTTCTGTGTACTGTATAACTTTTATAAGGGTGTGTTTAAAATCCCGAGATCATCCAAACAGCAACTGAAAAATTTGCCTTTGAATGCGGTGAACTTTATAAATAGAAGAAGTTCAAGACTTTCTCAATTTATTGAGACACTTTTGGACCCTCATCTCTCAGCCTAATAAGAGGAGGAGTCAGCCTGTAGATCAAATGCCATGGGTATGGTCTTAGAATCTGGGCTTGTGGCAACAATAGTCAAGATCACACAGATACTGCTTTTCCTTTGTCCCTTTAAGAATATGTTTTGCATTTGTATCATAAACTTTACAGAAATCTTCATAGCTCTCCACTTGTTTCCCGCTTTTAAACTCTTTTGTGGAGGGGAGAGAGATGAGTGTTGTCTGCTTTGACCTAGGAGGTCCTGGAAAGTGTCAGCAGAACTTGCTTGGTCAGTTCATGTTTTATGCATGTATGTTTTCTGGCATTTGTACTTTAGCTAAGATGTAAAATAGGTTTTTCCTAAGGAGAAGTTTGCAAGATAGTGATTTGCAGTACTACCCTTTGCCAGAATAATTTTTGATGTCTGAAGGAGGCGTTCCCAATTGTCTTCATATTAGCCCTACTAGGAGAATGTTGTTGAAAACTAGGTGGAAACTGACTTTCTTTGATGCACGGCTTTTGCAATTGAGTTGCTGTTGTTACTGTACACACCAATATCGTCATGCTTTTGTTGACTTGGTGACTAAGCTAATCCTTCCTGAAAGTTAGGCCTTACAACTCGTTACACATGTCTAATGAACTCAAGATGAAAATGTACACTGTACTTGTGCTGTACAATTAAATTGTGTGTTCTTGTTGCCATTAATAAGCTTGTCACTTAGGCAATAGCTTGATGCTTCAGAACTTGTAAAAGAAGCTGTTTTGTTAGTATTTTCAATGAAAGTAAAAAACAGCAAAAATGAACCGCATATTTAGGTTTAGATTATTTTGGTGTGGCATCTTTTACCAGTGTGGCCATTAATGTAAAAACTACTTTCAGATACTCATGAACTACATTATTCTTTTTATACATTTTTGTCTCCTTGAGTTACAACTGTAGGAAGTGTGAGGAATGGAGGTGTCTTTCAGAAAAGTTGCAAGACAATATGGGACAGCAGAAATCAGTTTGAAATACAGATGATTGTGAAGTGGAAGTAGAGTATATCTGCAAACAGTTTAATGTCTTAGCAGCTGTCTTTCTGTTATGATATTTTGGAATATTGGATATTGTAACACTCTCAGCTACATCTGGTTTTCTCTTTTTCCCATGTGACCACAGCCATGTGTTGCACACAGTTTTACCTCCTCGTCTTTCTGGACTTTGTTAAAGCTTAACTTGTTTCACACAGTACAATGGAACTTGCATGTAAGAATTGAATCACTTTCATGAGTTCAAGAGGAAAAAACTGGTTAGACTTCTGAAGAAATTCTTAAAACCTATTTTCTATTTTTAATTGTCTTTATTTCATAGAACTGCTTCTCAAGTTTGTTTAATGAAATTCTCACCAGATGGGGAGTTTTTTGCTACTGCTGGAAGGGTAAGCATGTTTTTTTCCTAACTGTTTTGTAGTATTATTAAAGCAAACAAACCAAACCACACATTTAAAAAAAACCCCAAACCTATTTAATGAAAAATTTCTTTTTTTATATTTTTTGCATAGTATTTGCAGTAATTCGTTTATGCCTCTTTACATTTTGGTAAATAAGAATCTGGGAGAAAGACAGGCCGAGGGCAGAACCCAATGAATATTCACTGCTTAGTATTTTAAAATACTGATTTTAATCAGTACCAAATTATAAAACATCAGAAAGAGAAGAGTTTCTGGGAATGGGGGAGATCTGTGCATGAGTTTACTACTGGACATCGTTCTAGTGAGGAAATGTATTCAGTATTTCTTTATTATTGTGACACCATTAATCAAAAATAGCACTTTAATATCTTACGTAAATATATCTGTATTCCTATTTGAGTACATAGAAGAGAATTCACATTCCTTCCACAGGTATATTTGCTCATAGTTAAGGTCAGTGTTTGTGGCCAGTTTTACAGATTAGGTCTGTGTGCTCAGCATTGAGTGGGTTATCAGCAAAAGTATTAAAACCCCATGGTAAAATAAGCAAAAAAATTAAAATGTCACCATCATGTTGTTTCAATTCCCAAAACACTAACAAACTAATCTTTTATTTATACTACAAAACTTGTTCAGATTTTGTAAGAATAATATCCTAACAAGTCAAAGCAGAAGAATAACCAAGATAACATAGAGGATCCAGTGAAAAAGTATGACAAATCCATACAAGAATTTATATTATGTGCTAAGGCATGAGAAATGACTAATTGTTCTCTACAAGTAATATTGTTGTCTTTGAGGGAAGAGTTACATTGACATTGGTCAAAAAGTAGATTGTGGGGAAAAAAAAGTTTGCAAATTACTATTTTTGAAAAAGAAACAGAGAACTTAACAATATAAGCAGTTTTAACACAGATTAACAGATGCAGGTAGGCATCAATTTTGTGCTGCCAACTAAAGAACCTAGCAGAGACTGCAGAATTATTAGAAAGGAAACGTAATGCTAGTATGTAAGGTTAATCAGGACAGTGCAGTTAGAGATGAGTGAAAACCTGGTTGAAGTGTCACAGAATCCGGACAAAGTCCAAAGACAGTTTTGCAGTTCGGTCTAGTCTGTTTTGGAAGTATGAAAGAAAAATTAGTGTGTACACATAAAGATTGGTTAGAACAGTGTTTGATTTAGTAGTAGTATGTGGAACTTCGCCGATGCGGTTTGGATCATAATCTCCCTTAATACATGCTTGAAGCACAAAGATTCAGGGGTGGTTCAGTCTGCAAATAGGTCTTGCTTTTAAAAGGCGGTTGTCATGCATATTTTCATGACTCCGTTGTATGCATCAAGAACAGATGAGTAACACACATGTTTCTTAGTTATAGGTGTTTGATTTTTTTTCCTCTAAAGCTTGCCACTTCAGGTCACTGCTTGCTTGGAAGACTTAACTTTTAAGGCATTTGCTATCTTTAAAGAAGAGTGAAAGATGTAACAAATCCAAAAAAATAATCTATGTTTCTTTTTCTATGTAAACTATATTCCAGTTGACTAGTTTCCAACAAGTGAAGTGAAATGCTAGACTTTCTTGATGATAAACTATACTCCATGTAATAACAAAGCAAGAAGTTCTCATGCTCCATTCCTGTTTTGCTTCTTTGGGATGTCATACTGCATGTTATATGTTTTGTGATGTCTTTAGCCATTTACTGACTGAAAGTTATTCCAGTCATGTTTAAGATAACTTTTTACTTACAAAATTGTTTGAGTACAAGTTTTATGTATAAAAAAAGAATTGTGTCATTTTTGGTAGTGTGTACTGGCAGTATATAGTGTATTTCACTATAGATCTTTTTTTTGATGGGTAGGAATTAATATTTGTTTTAAAAGTCACGTTTTAATGGATGCTAATGCTGTGATATGATTGAATTGTGGCAAAAAATAAATTGATCTGCAAATAGCTTCTATAGCGGTAATACTCTTGCAGAGTTTTTGACTGGAATGTCGTATGTCCTTTTGTGTTATTTTACGTTATAAGGTCATGAAAAGCACAATTACTAAGTAAGTAGGAAGAATTACTAAGTAGGAAAAAAATTAATAATGGATTTTTTTTATCATAAATGACTAAGTGAATTGCCTGCCTGCAGAATCTTTAAAATGCATCTTTGTTTGTGTCGTCTGTCTTTGTTTAATTTTTTGTGAGAGAAGATGCTGGTCAGCGAAAGAACCTCCCCCTCCTCCCAATAGGGTCGTGTTAAGCACAACCAGGTTAATACAGTGTTTCAGTACCATTCCTGTTTAATAGTTGGTCAGCAACTTGCGAATCTAGATCTGGCTTAATTTATCTGCTTAAAGGCATAAGGACAAGGATACTAGGAGCATGATTTTTTCGATCCATATATGTGCGTATCTAAGAAGAGCAGTCTGAGCAGTACGGAGCTTGAGTTTTGAGATGTTGTCTTTGACATTTGTTTGCATTCCTAACATTTAAATTTGTGTGTATAGGTTTTGAGGGCTTTCTGTCAAAATACAGTTAGCTGTATTAACATTGTAATACCATCTTAAGCCAGTACAGCTTGCATGTTTGTGGTTAAAACTGACAGCTGATCAGAAGGAGCAAGATTAAATGCGAGTTAGTAGTGGCAAGAGAAATTAAAAGGAGGCTCTGCTACCGTGTTTTCTTTAAGATCAGGTTTTGAAATTCTGTTTATTGAATTGACTTTGTCATCAGGAAAGTATTTTATTTGAAAGAAAAACAAAAACCCAGGAGACATACCCAGAGGTACGTGAAGTGCGTCATATTCTTATTTACTGTCTTTTTTCTTTCCCCAGGATGATTGTCTTGTGAAAGTATGGTACAGTGCAGACAACTGGCGATCAGCCGTAACACCACCTGGCTCAAGTCCAGACAAGCAAATGAAAGAAGTTGATTTTTCATTTGTTTATTTGGCTCATCCTCGATCAGTAAATGCATTTTCATGGAGGAAGACCAGTAAATTCATGCCACGGTCAGTAGCTCTAGTAAACTGAGGTTTGTAAATTGCCCCAAAACACCCAATCTGTACAGTCTTCCCAGCTGTAGAGTCAACAGTCTCACAAGTTATACAGTTTACTTCAATTAATAATGGAGTTTGCACACTTTGTAGATTTTTTTTTTTTTGTGTGTGTGTGTTTGTATAATTCCTTCACACTAAAGTTCTCGAGAGCATGGTAAGCATCCTCTTACCTGGGAAGGAACTGGAAAGATAGAAAAGCAGTCCCACAGACTGCCTTAAAGACTGGACTAAATATAAAATCAGCTCTTGCGGAGTTACCTCTCTGTGCATCTTTTGATTGCACTGTCTTGAATGGCCATTCATGCATTTGATCCCAGCTTGTTCCTCTCTTTCTGTCCTCACGGAGTCAGAGCAATTCAAGAGTCCTGTCACTTTGTCATCTTTCTCAAACATTCACATATTTCCTTGTCTTTTAGTTTATTTCCCTTCCTAGGCCAAAACTAGAGCTGGAACAGTTAACTGAAAATTGAATGAATATTATAATTTGGAATTGATATTTTGGGTTTGATCTTTTTTTTTTGGTGTTCTCACAATTCCTAAATGACCCATCCCTAGTTTTCACTAGTATATTACAGTCTCAAACTGAAGTAATGCTAGCAGTTTTGTGCACTGCAACCATATTTTTGTCGTATTATTCTGAATAGTAGTCACTTGAATTCTGCATACCTTTGTGTTTGAGCAACTTTATGCTGTGTTTTATACCGACCTTTAAGCCAAAGACTCTTCATAAAGCCATTACTGTAGTCCTTAAATCAGTTTTGAAAATCTGCCTACTCCGTGATGCCTAGGGGAGTTCGCTGCTGGACAGTCCAGTCTGATGATCGGTATAGTTTTGGAGTCTTAGCTAAAACTAAATTGTGAAACCTGATGCTCTGCGTATTGTTTTTCAGTGCCTAGTTTAGGTTAATTGGATTTTTTGATATCTATGCAACACAAATTGTATTTGGAAAAACTTTAATTAAGAAGAGTTAGTATTTTTAAATTGGCTGTTGTATTCCTGGCATTACCTTCGTTTCTCTGTTTTGGATATAAAGTTTTGTAAGTGCTATATAGCAGTAAGATAGGCAAATTGAGAACAGGTATCCAGAACATGATTAGCTTTTTATGTAGAGGACTTCAAAAAGAAAAAGAAATTTCGGTATTCCAGCTATGACTAATTATTTAAATGGAGATCTGTGATTTACTGTTGCACAGTTGTGTGATGAAGTTTGAGGTAATTTATATTCAGATACTGGAATAGATATGAAAATCTTCTGTACATCGTTTGTTTTCCTAAGAATGAATTGTTGAGGGTTTTTTTACGTAGTATCTTCAGATTACTTGGTTCAATCCCAAAAATTGATAATGGAAAACTGTTTCGTACTGTTGCTTTATTTTGATGCTATGTGATAGTGAGCAGCTGCTTCACACCTGAAACTTTCTTTCATTAGTGGTGCTGTCTGCAATGTACTCCTGACTTGCTGTAAGGATAATGTGTGTCGTCTCTGGGCAGAGACTTTGTTACCCAATGACAGTCTGCTGTATGGTGGAGGATACAACAGTTGGAGTGAAGCAGTGAACCTCACAAATAACTTGAAAAGAAATACTTCAAGTAAGGAAAAAGTGCAAAATGCTTTAGAGGTAAGAAGTGAAATTGCACAGTGAGAATAAACACATGTATACGCACATAATTTTAGACACGTTTGTAGTTAGTAACTCGAACGTGTATCATAATCTGAAATCCTTTATACCATAGATGTGCATAAAATATTATAGAGGAGTGAATTTACTTGAAATCTTCCTTAGGAAGGCTAAGCTGACAGCCGTCATACTGAGCTTTCACATTAGAAAACACACAGTTCTTATGTCACTACTGCCTATTTTGCTCTGGTGACTGAAGCAAAGTGCTTTGCAGTAGCTGGTTCAAAGAGCTAGGAACTGTATGGGGAACAATACTATATGTAGGTTATGTGAAACCCGTTAATGATGCTGCCTTAAAATGTGTGGTAGGGGCTCACTTGTTACTGCTGAAGTTGTGACATGTTCTCTGACTTATTCAGCTGGAAAAATAGTGATAATGTGGAGGGAAGAAAGATAGCCTTCATTGTCTTTTTGCTGTAGTCCTCAAGTAGAGCAGACTGCTCGCGAGCTGTATCTGTAAGGCAAATGATCCTTACCTGGCAGTGTTTTCTAACTAATGGGAAGTAGGGGAAAGTGAGGCATTAGTGGTCTTCTGCAGAGCTGTGTAGAAAGTACGCAGGCACTGTGCTTTTATCTTTATAGAGTAATGTATTTAGCATGCTCGAGGTGCTTTCTTAGCACATGTAGCATAGATGTAGAATATGACAGGCTGAAAGGCACAACACAGCAAAGAAAAAATATTCAAGGCGGGCAGGGGGAAGGAAGTTGGAGGCAGTTCTGTGTTCCCTTGAAAACAAGAGACACCATCAGAGATCAGAAATAACAATTACGTGAAAATGGAGAGAAAAATACTTTACAAGAGCATGCTGTGTTAAGATGCAAAGGGTAGCAAGTGAAAAGGAATGTCAAGAGTGTAATACCATCCTTAATACACATCGTGTAACTTCTTGTACTTCAGGTGCCTGTATAGATATCTGTGGCACAATGGCCTTGAACTGTGCAGTATGTGGAGACAGACTTCTTAATACTGGTGTAGTCAATCTTAAAATCAAATATTATTTTTTCCGTTGGAAACATATATTTTCATAGAGGGAAGAAGACCTTAGAACTCATTGGGCCCTTATGGGAGTGGAAGTACTGACCTAATGGGACCCAAAGTACTGATCCAGTTTGTCAGTCTCTGAAATGAGGTTATTGCGATTTGCTGCTTTGTTTGCTCAGAATCTTGAGTAAGCATGGTTTGTTTATGAAACACAACAGTACTTTAAGTATAAAAACTGTGTGAACATCGTCTGCACACTGAAATATGAAGACGTTACTAGTTGGGTCAATGTACTGTATGGGCCTTCCTAAATTAATCTGAAGGCACTGTTAATCTCTCTACTGCAGACACAACCTGAACAGTGTCATTTTTGCAGAAACTCCACTGGTGTTTGAAGTAGCTTGTAAACTGAAGAATTTCATTCACTACTCACTAGAAAACCACTTACAGATGAAATCTGCTTTTTCTCTTTGAAAGGAATTAAAATGACACCTTATTCTTCATGCAGTTAAACCTGAGACACTTTCGACGAGGGAGGAGGAGGTCGGGTGCTGTTGTAGCACATACTGGATATGCTCCACATCAGCAAGATCCCCACGAAGTTCACAGGAACATCCCTCCTCATGCAAATGCACTTTGTCACTTCCATATTGCTGCCAGTATCAATCCAGCCACAGGTAAGAAGTGTGGTAAATCCTTGCTGCAAGGTCACCTACAACTTTTTTTAGGTCTGTGTGAGCTTAACTGGGTCAGAAGCCTTTACACAGTATTTACATGATCATGCAAGATTACTAACATGTTTGTTTCATTTAGTGCATGAAAGAGCCTTCTTCTACAGTAATGAAATGGTTTGAATAAATTTCCTCTACAGTAATCCTGTTGTCCATTTTTGGTCATCTTCTAATTGAGATTCACGGTGATCTGAGATGCAGATCACAGAATCACAGAATGGTAGGGGTTGGAAGGGACCTCTGTGGGTCGTCTAGTCCAACCCTCCTGCTGAGCCTACTATTCTGTGATTCTGTGACCCTGTTGTCCACCCTGGCACTAAGCAAAATCTCCCAGCTAAAGAATGACACTGGGCACCACTGAAAAGAGCTTGGCCCCATCCTCCTGACACCCACCCTTCAGATATTTATAAGCATTTATTAGATCCCCTTGCAGCCTTCTCTTCTTCAGGCTGAACAAGCCCAGCTTCCTCAGCCTCTCCTCGTAGGGGAGATGTTCCAGTCCCCTCACCATCCTTGTAGCCCTAAAGGATACTTGTGGCTGAGTATTTGCAACTGGAGTTACAAATTTACTGGGAATTGTGTCTGATATTGGGAGCACACTCATAAATGAAAAATATGCATGCTTCTTAAATGCGTACCTGACACTGGGGGTCTGAAGTAACCACACGTCCCTGTACTTCTGTCTCTGAACTAAGCAAAGCAGGCCTTCATCTTGTGTTCCATAAACTTTAATATTCTCTTGCGTTCAAGGAATACGTGGATACACATTAAGGAAAATCCCCTGTTGTTGCTATTATTTCTGTCTTCATAATTGCCTGTGTATGCTGAAAATGAAGCGCGTGTCTGCTCACTGAAAAGCTGAATAGAAATGCAATATTGCATGGCAGTTCATTAAGGTTTTACTGCTGTGATGTGATTTCCTGTGTCTAGACTCAATGAACAAACATATTATCTAATACTTTTCTTAAACTAGTTAAGCTCTGTCTTACAGTGTTTTTAATTTTTTTTTGTTCTTGCTGACCCTTACTTGAAAGGCCAGTTTTGACCTAAAGGCATTCATGATTAGTTCATATTTGCAGCTGTATGGTCTTTGATATGATTATAAAGAGCTGTTGGTTTCCATTACCATTGCTGGGCTAAGCGAGCTGTAAACACTTTCTCTTCTAAGATTAATTAGGTGTCTACAATCGCATCCAGCTTACCAGATGGTAAGTTTGGCAGTTTTGTGCTGTACTGTCAGTGCTATTCTATTACTACAGGAAATATCGCCAATCATTAACATAAGTTATTACCTAATGTCATAAAGGAAAATTTCTCCCAAGCTTCTTGGGGATTTGTAACTCTCCTCTCTGCATTTCTATGTCTTTAAATAGCACAAGGAGCTGGCTAACCTTTTCAGGTGGCTAGCACGTAATCTTTCACGAGCTTTTCTTATATCTGCTCTTAATGGACTTCTTTTCTTGATTATTTATACAGAATAACTAAGTAAACTTTAGTTTTTCTTTTAATAATCTTTGAAATATAAATGTGCCCACAGCAAACTCACAGAATGGGAATAATAATCTTGGAAAAGAATGGTAGAAGATTTTCTTAGGTGTTCCACACTTGTCTTTGGTCTTTTTAATCTTGTACTCCTTCTGTGTTATCTGTACTAATATTATCTATTTTGATACTGTCTTTTGAGTGACTTGGACTATAAGTCAATACATTGGAGGATAACGGTTTCTTCTTTAATGCAGAACATCTGTTTGAAGTAACTTTCACATCTTAAATCTGAATTTGAAGAAATATCTGTTGTCCCTCACAGTCAAGTCCTTAAGTACCTTAGTGTAACCAGATTTTCTAAGTAGTCCTTTTAGTTTGCCCTTTTGAAATGAAATTTAATCTGAAACCCTAATTGTCTTTTCTTCGTTTAATTTAAACCAAATCGGTTTATGATCTCTTACTTGAAAATTTGCCCTTATTACAACATGCAGAGTACTTGATGAAAACTAAGGTCAAAGCAGCTTTATCTGTCATTCGCTTCACTTTTTAAAGAATAATGTTGTCACATACAAGAATGACTGTGGTTTTAGTTTTTGTTGTATTTGTGTTTGATTGTTAATTTTGAAACTAATTTTCTAATAGCAATAAAATCCTTGAGACCTTCTGTTATACTAGAGTGTTATTTAAACTGGTATTCAGGCTGAATGGAGTTCAGTGAGAGGAATAAGCATTGGTTGTTATGACAAAATTGTCTCTAGGCAAATCCAGAAAAAAAATACTGTATCCAAAGACAATAGAAGTCTTCTGGAAAGAGCGAATGTGATTTGTGAAGGAAATAGACATTCATTAAGGATTTTGTTCAGAGCTGAGCATCAGTTAGAGGTTGGTAGTTTTGAGGTAAGAGATGGGAAAAGTGATTTCTGTAATGGTCTTCTGATATATACTAGTATGCAGATTTATAGTCTAGTCTGAAAAGCCATCTTCCTAGTTCACCTTTTTATTCACGTGTACTGTAGCTCCGTCTTCCAAAGAGAGGTCAACAGAATTCTTCCCTCCGAGTTCTGATTTTGCCAAATGTGTATGATGTTTGAGACTGGCGTCAATTGGCCTTTGCAGGGAGACAGACTGTATTTCTTAAATACTCTGTGCTCTTCTTGTCTCCTTCCCGTGCTGCGTCCTGTCCCCACAAAAAAATTGCTGGTAGTCCTGGTGGTCCTTTCTTCTCTCTGTGTGCTCTCAGTTATCATTTTCTTAGGTGAGGCTGGAGGGTAAGTAATTGAAAGCCATCACTGTCTTTGGAAGAAAAACAAACAACACCCAGAATTGGAGTAAAAAGTATTTTGTCTCCTAGTGCATGGAATTTAAGTAATGCTGCATAACTAGGGAGCAGAAGGAGATGAGAATGTATATGGAGACTTCTAGGTGGTAGTTAAATGAAAGTTGAGCTTTTAGCATGTTGCTGTATGGCCCATTTGAGGAAACTGCAGTAAATCACCTAGCTGCTTTTTAGCCACCCTAAATTTAGATGATGATACTCTGCAGCAGTCTTGTACTTGCTCTGTCAATTACTTTGTGTTTACCGCTTTATTTTTCACAGCCAGCTGGGACACCAAGTAGCATCACAGGGCAAAGTGAAATAATAATGGAATCTGTAGGAATCAGAAATCCTGGCTTCATTACGCGGTATAACTACTGCAGCCTCCAATGTGGACTAAATGTTGGGAAATTGTGCTTAAATTATTTGGTTTGTACTCAGCTGTAGTAGCAAAAGATAAGGTAAATTAACCTGTATGGACGGTATTATGTTATGAAGATAACCTGTATGGACGGTATTATGTTATGAAGATGTAACAGCACAGGGCTATGCTGTAATCCTAATGTAAGTGTACCAAAGAGCCTTTCTGTGGAACATATGTTGTCCTAGCAGTCAAGCAATTTAATACTGATAATACTACTTTTAATAAGGAAAGTAGATGATGTTGGTGAAAGAAATGACAAGTGGCAATAGTCTTAGTGTATTTTTTTCTTGGTAGAGTTTCTACTTAAAAAAAAAAAATCTCTAAAATTGTTTTTTCACCAAACTATTTGGTTTTCAAAAATGTCAACATCTTTTCCTGTTAGATATTCCTCTACTCCCTTCTATTACATCTCTGAGTCTTGGTGAAAATGAAGAAAAAAGTGGGCCTTTTGTTGTGCACTGGCTAAACAATAAAGAACTTCATTTTACCTTATCCATGGAAGTATTTTTGCAACAACTTAAAAAGAGTTTTGAACATCATTCTCCTGAGACTAACACTGAGGAATCTAATCAAATGGATGGCAGAGGAGAAGGTAAAAATCTTATCGTAGACAAATGACTTTAATTTTACAAAGTAATTTGTAATGTTCTTTCATGTGAAGTAAGAGGTGGGCAACTTGACATGTAAGGTTATAGAGAGATTACAGTAGCATTTCTGTGCATTTCATTCCCTGATGCTGGAAGTACCCGAGTGACTTTTAAAAATTTTGTCTACAAATTCTGAGTTGTTTATGGTTGTTTCAGAGATTTTGAGTTATTTATGGTGAAAACTTTATTATTTAGTTAGGCTGACTTGGAGGCCTTTGCATATAAAATGTGTTATTAACCTTTTTAAGGAAGCAGGTGCAACCTCAGAATTAACTTTTTAAAAAATATTAATGTACACCTTATTTAAATAGTTTTGTTCTATACCATAATATAGTCAATTAATTTAAATATGTACAGTTTGGAGATAACTGCTTTTCTGCCTATGCATGCAAAAATTTATATAAAATGGGAAAAAAAAAGTGTTTTGAGTTAAGGTGCAGTATAAATTATTTCGATTTGTTAGTCATGGACTGAGGTCCACTAGAGCATTTCTGTTTAAAATTTTCATTATTTTCAATTTGTGCTTGTATAAGTGGCTTATAAAAGGCCTGAAAGATGCTACAGTGCCTGAATAACACTGCTTGCTGTAGTTCTGTGTTTTAGTATGATACATATATCTGCGTGTGTTCTAGAAGATGATGAAAATGGAGATGAACAAAAAGGAAATCAAGAAAAGGAGGAGCTTGGTGATGAGAAAGCTACTGCAAATTCAAGCCTTGTTCCTTTACCTTCTGCTATTACTGATCATGAAATTGAAGTACTGCTTTCTGAATGGAGTAAGAATGCTGACATGCTATTTAGTATACATCCTATGGATGGTTCGCTGCTGGTATGGCATGTGGACTGGCTTGATGAATACCAGCCTGGCATGTTTCGCCAGGTGCAGGTACTTTATTTTTTCCTGGGTTATGCATTGCTATTCAGTGAGAAGTACAATAGGAAAATAATACTTACTCTTTCTCTCTTTCTTAAAATTCCAGGTATCATTTGTCTCAAGAATTCCTGTTGCATTTCCGACGGGTGATGCAAACTCTCTTAGCAGAAGTATAGTGATGTATGCTTGTACCAAAAATGTTGACTTAGCTATTCAACAAGGCAAACAAAAGCCTCCTGGCCTTACGCGATCTTCATCTATGCTTATCTCTTCTGGACACAGTAAATCAACCAACAGTTTAAAACTAAGTATCTTCACTCCCAATGTTATGATGATTTCCAAACATGCAGATGGGTCATTGAACCAGTGGCTAGTGAGTTTTGCTGAGGAATCTGCTTTCTCAACTGTACTCAGTATTTCACATAAATCCCGATATTGTGGTCACCGTTTTCATCTTAATGACTTGGCTTGCCACTCAGTGTTACCACTGCTGCTTACAACCTCACATCACAATGCTCTAATTTCACCAGATGCTGAGAATGCAAAACAGGCAAATGATTCTAAGAAGTCTCAGGAGTCGCCAATAAGACTTCAGAGTAGAGGCAATGCAAACATGACATCGCAGGATCCCAGTGCAGTCTACAGTGAACTTATTCTTTGGAGAGTTGACCCTGTTGGGCCTTTGTCCTTTTCTGGTGGAGTTTCTGAACTTGCTCGGATCAATTCTCTCCATGTTTCAGCTTTTTCTAATGTTGCGTGGCTGCCCACACTTATACCCAGCTATTGCCTTGGTGAGTTTCGTTTCCTGATTTGTGAAGTGTTCTAGAATAAAAGTAAAATAGCCTGATAATGCTATTAAATAGGTAATGTAGATATACTTGAATGCATTGGATAAAGTGTTAAGCATGGGTCCTTTCGCAGATTTCCAAGCTGCTGATACTTGGAAATTGTTTATTCCTGTGTGAAGAATTGCTGTGTTGTTCTGCTTTCTTTTATGTATTTGATATTTTAGGAGCTGATGTAGTAAAGTTCTTAGATGCTAGCACATACTTGAAAGCATGCTGAACACTTAAAAGCAGAGGTAGATTTTGCTCTGGTTTGCAAATGGGATTCTCATTTCCTTTCAGATACTTTGATTTGGTGGCTGAGTGCAGCATTAAACTTTGTAGTTCTTGCTTGTGAACAAAAATTAACAAGAGAGAATTTTTCTTATGCTATATTGTTTTCTTTCATAACTTGAAAATTGCCTTTTGCAAAAAAAAAAGGGAGCGAGTTGGTATTTGACTATTTGAGCACATTTTGTGTTCTTATTTTTCAGGTGCATACTGCAATTCTCCAAGTGCCTGCTTTGTGGCTAGTGATGGACAGCATTTGAGATTATATCAAGCTGTAATAGATGCTAAGAAACTTTTGTGTGAGCTCTCCAATCCAGAAATTTCTGTAAGTGAAAAGCTGTCTCAAGTTTTTGGAGGCTGGAACTTCATTCAGTAGTACTAGTTCAGAGTTGTTGGTAACTGGCTAAGCTGGTTGCTGAGGTTTTCACAGCTTATGGTAGTTTAGCTCTGCTTGCAAAAACAGATATGGTAAATCTTTTTAGCATTATAACCATAGTGAATTTAATTTAATCTCAAACTCTGCATATTGAGGCAAGTTGGTGTTTGGTTGGGAAATACCTCTGAAACATTTGCGCTACAAGGAGTAATAACGGAGCAACAAACAGTGTGTGTATGTGTGTGTTGTCCACCCTAAGGAAAAGTTGAGATGACAGTGCAGCCCTGGGAAAGGACAATAAACTGCTGAATGTGAGGCTTTCCAGATGTTATCGTCACCTTTCAGCCATTGAAAACAGTGTGGCTTTTGATAAAACTGGGAATGTTACCCGTGTTCTTGGATTGCAACTGCTGTATATTTCATGCTTTGCATAGTGATGTTGCATCTACCTAGCAGGCTATGCCACAGATATGCACAAAAATGAGTTAACAAGACCCATCCCCCTAACTGTCTTTAAACAGAAATATGTTGGTGAAGTTTTTAACATCATAAGTCAGCAATCTACGGCTCGCCCGGGATGTATCATTGAGCTGGATGCTATCACAGAGCTTGTAAGATCTTTTTCTATACTCATTTTATAGCATAATTAGCTAGTTTAATAAGTGGTAATAATAAAGACTATACCTGTAGCTCTCCATCATGTAAAGATTAGTTATTTAAAGATTGATTCTGACGTATACTTGCTTTTGTTTTCATAGTATGTGTAAATTAAAAGAATGTGCCTAATTACATTTTCTTGAGAGATCTTTCATTGGTGTGTGTATCTTACCAAGTTAAAAGCTTCCGTGTTAGAGAGCAGTCTTAAACAGAACACTCCATGATGGTCACTTCTGTGTGTTTTTACTTTCTTAGCATGGCAGGAAAACACAGTTATTCCATGTCTTTCAAGAAGACTTCATTTTAAATAACCAGGAGAAGGAAATAACAGAAAAGAACAACAACTTATCAGACTCTGGTAAAGAATTCTTTTTCATAGAACAGTGAAGACAAAGTATTGTATTTTTTTCATTCCACAGAGGAAAAAGAGCTTATTATATATCTTTTAGTATTTTAAGGTCAAATACTTTACTCTTTTGGAGATCTTTATATGCCAAAGAAGAAAATCTGGTCTAAGGAAACCCAAGGCTGTTTCACTTCCTTTAAGAGTAGTGTGCAACCAAATTTTAGATTAAGTAGCTTAAATCATGAGATACCTTTCTTACATGTCAGGGAAAGGGTTTTAAATGCAGGGTATCACCAACAGAATGCTTAGTATAGTACATGATGGGTATGATGAAGCTTACTGCATTCTTTCATGATGGATGTTCATCCTTTACATCAGCGAAATACTGCTCCTCAGGCCTTGAGTGGTACAATAAATTACAGGTGAAACAAATTCCACAAACACAAGTATAGAGTACAGTATAGGCATCTCAGTTTTCTTCTGTTCCAATGAAATAATGTGGAAATAAAGAGTCAGAGTAAAGTTTGTGATACCAAGTCATCTGTAGTAGTAAAGGGAATGCCAAAGAAAAGGAAGCAAAGTTGTGGAACAGTGTCAAAATGCTGCATGATAACTTGCTACACAAAATTTGTTTTTGTTGGAAGAAAAGAGAGACACCTGGGGAAATGTATACAATTCAGGTAATAAGTAGTGATAAATTCTGAATTAGCTGTTTCTAGGTGAGAGAGACATTTGGAGTAATGGGGGTAATCTATGAAAATGTCAACCCAACTCTCAGCAGAGGTCGAAAAGCACAAATGGAATCTTGAAAATTAGGAAAAAATAGAGAACAGAAAGAAGGGTTACTGTACAGCATTAATTTGTTGTACATTTGCATCTTGAGAATGATACACAGAAGGTACCTTGAAAGAAATATGAAAGCTATTTCATTTTGGAAGAGGGCAGCTGAATACATCTGTATGTGTTCTGAAGGTCTGTATGGATTGCTGCCATGTAAGAAATTGAGCTAAATGCACCCTTTGGAAAAACTGTATGTTAGAAGTATAAAATTTGCATACTTTCTAATGTATTTTCTAGTGCTCCAGAGCTCTTTAGTTTTAACCCCTCCACACTCCTTCCTCTTTAGTAAAGCATGTAAGTATTGAAGGTTTTTTTTAAAAAAGAACAGATTTGCTTGTGATTTTTACAGTACCATAAGCAACTCAATGTCAAACCTACAGGGCAAATACAGCTTATTCTTGTCATGTTTTATGTAGATGCACACCGAAAGAAGGGCCAAAGGAATCATAGAGTAGAGATGATCACTAAACTATTCCTTCTTGATCCTAATGGGTTTACTTTGGTGCTAAGGAAGGAGTATGGCTGGATGCATCCTGCAGAAATGGGCTTCTACTGATACTGCAACTCATGTTGTCTTTTCTTGGGGTGAAACTGTAGCAAATAATTTCTCAGGAAGAAGCATTGTACCTCTGGTGCATTCCAGAGTACATAGTTGGTCTGGCTGGATTGTGTCTGATGAGCCTATCTGTTAGACCAGTCTGTGATTTCCCCAGCTGTTGACATGACATTTCTTCTCTACATGTGACTGGTATACTTTTTATACATTAAAGGCCAAACCTCTGTCAGCTCACTTTCTTAACTGTTACAGTTGCCAGCATCAAATAGCAAAGAAACTGTAAGAGACAGGCAAGTAGAAGACGAAGGTGTAACGCCAAGAGTACGTTCTGGGATTAACTTTAAACAGCAAGTTCAGGCAAATAAGTTGTCCTCTTTGAAAGAAAATGACAAGTTCTTCATATGTATACCTATAATTATAGCGCTTATTGCTTGTGATAAAGTGCTGAGAAAACATAACAGAGTTCGATGTAGTCAGACCACTGCATTTCAGTATTAGTTTGTGTTAGCTTAGTATGGTTATTTACTATCTAACAAAATTTGGTTCTGATTTGAGCTGAATAAACCCTAAGATCTTCCTGTTATGTATTTCGTCAGGAAACCAGCAGAATGGATTCTCTGAAAAATTCTACTTAATAGTAATCGAGTATACTCAAAACCGTTCATTGCTACATATGTGGCATTTACATTTGAAGTCAATACCTGTCTCAGTAGGTAAGCCCTCTTTCTTGTAGTTTTCTGTTTAAAAAAGTCACTATCTTGTGAATGTATCTGCTATTCAGCATATTCTAAATCGTATTTCACCTTTTTGAAAAGAATCTGCAATACTTCTAGTACAAGTTTTCATCGCAGCCCCTTGTTTCCTGCCGACTTAATTTTCAGAATGCTGAAGCTTATGAATTCAGCCTGAGCCCAGAGTTTAGTACTTTTGTGCGTTCTAAGGGCAAGTACATTTATCTGGTTTTAATATATAACCTAACAGTTCAGATGTTTTGCTTCTCAGAAGTTTTTGTTCTGCAATTTTTGAGTTTACACATAGAACATAAGTTGTGAACTGGACCATAGCCTGAAGCCCCTAATCATCAGAGACAGGGTTACAGTTATGAACAATTTTGAAGTTCTGAAATCTGGTGGTTCTCTTTCAGACTACCAAACTACGACAAAAGCTATGAAACTTTTAAAGTAAGCTAAGATATACTTCAGTAGTTTTCTGTTAACATTTAAAGATTTTAAGAGAATGTAAATCTCTCATTCACATATCGGAGGAGTTTATTGTAATGCATGTTTCTGTCACTTAAACCAAACTGATATTTGTCTTACTGTTGCTTTCAAAGGCAGAATTTCTTCAGTTATTTTAAGTATTACTGCAATTAATTTAAAAGTTGGTGAGAAGACTAAAGATCCAAATTTTCTGATGTACCTGTATGATGAGGACATTACTGATAAGGCTTTTCAAGCAACCTATTGGAAATTTTCGTGTTCCAAATTCATACTTCAACTGCTGAGTTTTATTAAAAAGCGCTGAAGTATGCATATCACATAATCTCCGAGATACTACGTTTTGAGCAAATATTAACAAAACTTTTCTGAAAAGTACCTTTTTCTAAATTGTAAGGTAAGACATGGAGGTCTTAATTTAATTTTCTCTAGCTGGAGGTGTTTTGCTCTTCATGAAGTGATAATTTCCTTAGATAGCTACATACATACCACTTTTGTGTGCAGTTTTGGTGTTTCTGGTTACAGTTTGATGGTTTTTAGTCTGAAGAGTTTAAACGTATCACCTCTTAGCAGTTCTAGAATTTCAGAAGTATTTAATCTGAGATGTGCTAGCATTTCTCTTTAAATCTGAATGTGGGAACACATTTCATTAAAATGAAAGTAAAATTTTAAGTTGTTTTATGTGTCTTTTTGAAACTTTAAAGGTGAGTAAAATTACTTCTTAGGTTAAAAAGAGACCATTGACTTTTAATAACTAACAATGCAAACTTTTTTAGAAGATAAGATAGATTCAAATACACCTGAAGAAGCAACACAAACAGAAGAATTGTGTTCTTCACCAGATCCAGAGAAGATCCAGTCACTTTTCACTCAAAAGTATCAAGCCTGTAGAGCAAACCTTCAGAGCACCAGCTGGCTTACTCTGTCTTCCAAAATGGTCTACAGTCAAGAATTGAATTTGCCAGAAGGAGTAGACATAATAAGTGTAAAGCCATCAGCAGGTTTGTATTTTTTTTTAAGGAAAAAAAATAAGGAATCCTTACCTTTCTGACTTTGGTCTGAAAAGAGAAACAAAGTAATAGTAAATTTGTTATTTGTTGTTAAAATTGAAAGACAAGGTTTGCTAAAACTTGCTCCCCTGACTTTATATCTTGATCCTGGAACTCATACTAAAATAAAGCTTTTATTTAAGTTATAATATTTATTGAGTTCCAGATTCTTGCACTAAAAGGCATTATAGAAATATAAATTTGGGTTTGCAGCCATTCATTAATTTTTTTGTGGGATCTGTAGTTATATTTTAAGGCTCCCATCAGTAGTCTTTCCAAAAATATTTTAGAAACATTTTTAGATTTCTGATTGGGAAATGTTTGTTTGATGGGAAAGGTTATAGATATTAATACGTTTAAATTATATTATTTGACTCCTCTGTAGAGCATGAAATGGAAACAAAGGGTAAAATAGTTTCAAAGTATTTTTGTCATGTCTCCTTTGTGAGGCCCTGCAAAGAATCCTCTTTGGTAGGAAGTGCTAATTTTATTTTGTATCAGAGTGATAAAATTGTAACTGAATAAAAATGCCTTTTACTTTTTCACTTTCTTTTTAATATTTCCCCCAGTAAAAGTGTATTTTGTATAATTTTAGGACATCTGAGTAGTTCTTCCATATATCCTGTTTGTCGTGCACCATACCTGCTGGCTACTTCATGCTCTGATGGAAAAGTTCGGTTCTGGAGATGCAGAGTTACCACTGAACCATCAGCTTCTTCCATGCCAGAATACAGCACACATGGTGATGTTACATATGTATGGGAAGAATGGCCATTACTGATTGAAGATGGACTTCTTAGTAGTAGTGCTATTAATGTTCCAGGAAGGCCAAATGAAGTTAGCTGTGCACACACAAACAGATTAGCAGTAGCATACAAGCAGGTAACATCTAAAAATAGTCATCTTTCTCAAGATTTTATAATGCATGTTAGTATTTTTGAATGTGAATCTACAGGGGGTTCTTCTTGGATTCTAGAACAGACTCTTCATTTAGATGAGATAGGCACCATGTTAGATTCCGGTGTTAGTATTGATAGTAATTTAGTGGCATATAACCGACAAGACATTCCTCTGTCTCATGGTGGGAATATTATGCCCAGCGCTAAGCACTTGGTACACTTAGATTGGATGTCTAGGGAAGATGGTTCACATATTCTAACAGTAGGAATTGGATCAAAACTTTATATGTTTGGTCAGCTGTCTGGGAAAATGCAAGAACAAAACGGCAAGGAGATGGTAGCAGTCTCCTATAGTGGCAGTACGAAGGCTACAACCCTTTCAAGGTTTGTTCTGCTGCGTTGTGTTGACTTGGTTTCATCTGTAGAGGGCTCACCTCCTTTTCCAGTCTCCTTGTCTTGGGTGCGTGATGGCATTCTTGTAGTTGGAATGGATTGTGAAATGCATGTTTATTCCCAGTGGCAATCTCCTTCCAGGCAGGAACTAGTTAGCACAGATTCATACACTGGAGGTACACCGTGTATAGCTAGCTTTATGAAACAAAGCCAGTCAGCTGCCTCGGGTCTGCATCCACCAAAGCGAACCTTGACCAGATCTATGACCAGCCTTGCACAGAAACTTAGTGGGAAAAGATCTGCCTGTGATCTGTCTATGGAAGTGGAAGATTCTGGTCTTTTTGAAGCAGCTCATACATTATCTCCCACTTTACCTCAGTACCATCCATATCAACTGTTGGAACTCATGGATCTAGGTAAAGTACGTAGAGCAAAAGCCATTCTGTCCCATCTGGTGAAGTGCATTGCTGGAGAAGTTGTTGCTATAAATGAATCTGAACCTAATCATGATAAGAGGCTCAGATCTCTGACCATCAGTGCTAGTGGAAGTACTGCAAGAGATCCCAAAACATTCAGCAAAACTGAGACTACAGACTATATCGAAATAGACTCTGTTCCACCATTGCCTTTGTATGCTCTGCTTGCTGCGGATGATGATTCATCTCATTCCTTTTCAGAGAAGTCTAATAATCAGAATAGTCTAAATAAAAAAGATATGCCCAGTGACAATTATGACGATCTCTTTCAAAATACTGGTATAAGTACAGATGAACTTGTTACGTTTGATGCAGATGAAGATGGTTCGAAGCCAAAAGTCATCGATCTTTCTCAGTACAGCCCAACTTACTTTGGACCAGAGCATGCTCAAGTTCTTTCTCGTCACTTGCTTCATTCAAGCTTGCCAGGTCTGACTAGGATGGAGCAAATGTCATTGATGGCCTTGGCAGATACAATTGCTACTACCAGTACTGACATTGGAGAAAGCAGAGACAGAAATCAGGGTAAGCTGTGTCTTCCAAGTTGTAAGTACTGCTGTGCTTCACAACCTTTTTTGGGAGTTTTTCCTATTCTGGAATATTTTTCTGGCTTATGAAAGCATGTCATAGTACAGCCTGTATTACTTACTGTGCCATCACAGTACTTACCATTTAACTAAAGTTTCAAGATTTAAGACTTCCATAAAATCAAATTTTGTATTGCTGTCAATGCCAGTGTTAGTCTGTCAGTCCACATACCACAATTCTTTCACTTCTGAAGAGACCACTTTTTTTAATTGCCAATGTTGCACTGTATAGAGGAATTAAGAAATAAGTTTATGCGTTTTTTAATATTATAATATTTTTTCTGTTTCTTGCATTAAGAACAATTTTATTATTCAAAAGCATTAGTAGTCACAGAATTGTAAAGTGTTTCTTCTATTAACAAATCCAATAGCTACTTCTTGTAGTTTCTCTAAAGTGTATATGAAAATGTTTAATTCTAGGTGGAGAAACTCTTGATGAGTGTGGTTTAAAATTTTTATTGGCTGTTCGTCTTCACACATTTCTAACAACTTCACTTCCCCCTGTACATCGAGCTCAACTGCTTCACCAAGGTAACTGATGTGTTTCCTTAGGTGGGGTGTATCTTAGTGATGTAGGTGTACGTATTACTGTTGTGTTGCTGACATGCCTCTGCAGAATCCGAGTGTTTTGGGGTTTTTTTGTTTGTTTGTTTGTTTAAAAAAAGTTGTTCAATATAAATGTATGCCAGAGCAGAAAATGCCTCTTTTAGTTTAGGTAGAGATCTTGGAACTGAAGTGATTTTTTTTTTTTTTTTTTTTTTCAAAATTTTTTTCTTTTTTTTTTTTTTTTTTTGATGACAATTTTTTACTGTTAATTTTTTTTTATTTCCCCAAAAGAAAGTTTTTTCTGTACTTCTGGTACCATGGTGTTCTAATAACCTTCTGCAGGAATAATGCAGTAGAAAATAAAGCATGTATTTACTTAGTTTTTTAATACATATTTGGAAAAAGATCTCTTTCAGTCTACTCAGACTTTATATGTTTTCTCATATGCTTACTATAATGATCTAATGGACTATTTCAAATAGTTTTCTTTGGTGTAGTTTGAAGTAGTTCCAGTGTGATATTTCAGATCACAGAGTGAGACGGATTTGGTTAGGCCTAATCAAATCTAAACGACTGGCTATGACTGCTTCTTTACCCTTCCATTAGTTGTCCTGACAGTTGATGGCATTTCCAGTCTCATGGTTTGTCACCCCTCAGCTGCATTAGAGATTGACATTTGCGAGGACCACCGCAGCAGAATACCTCTGAGTTAGCTCTCTGATGGAATACTTTTAGTTGAAACACTTCTCCTTCTGCTGAGCTCAGTAATTGATGAGAGTAAGAAATCCCTCTGAGGCATCTGCAGAGGTGCAGTGGAGTGCACCTCTGTGCAAAGCATCATCTCCTAGCCCTCACTAGAGTTGCGGTTATCCATAGCCAGCTATGCTGCTGCTTAATAATTGCTGTCTTCCTCATGATTTTTTTTTCTTTCAGTGTGGTTTTATACCTCTGTCCTCAAACCTGTTTTGTACTGTGATTGTCTGGAACTTCCCATTTTCTAATCCAAGTCAAAATAGTGAACCTACCTTTCAAAAATTTTAGAAGTTCAATCAGTGTGTTGCACTTTGTATCGTGGAAAAACTTAACACCACCCAGTATAAGTATATTTTGAGCTTCAGTCAGTAACTCTGTTCTTTGCAAACTTACAGAAAGAGTTTGCAGGTGAAAAAATGTTTTTGTCTGTATAAGCTTTTTTTAGTATTTGATATGCAGTGCTTAAAAATATTCTTAAATTTCTGTTGCCTCATCAGCAGTGCACTTAGAAAACCAAAATAAAAAGCTTAGCCTTCTTCCCTTCTCCCTTTCTCAACCCATTGACTTCAGATTCTGGATAATTTTATTAATGAATATCTCTCTTTCTTTTTAATGGCTGATTATGTAGGCTTATCTACTAGTCATTTTGCCTGGGCGTTTCATTCGGTAGCGGAAGAAGAATTACTGAGCATGCTCCCTGCAGTGCAGAAAGGAGATCCAACATGGTCAGAACTCAGAGCTATGGGTATAGGATGGTGGGTTCGAAATATCCATAGCCTGCGGAAATGCATAGAAAAGGTAAACGTAAGATTCTGAAACAAAATTACCAAACTTTTTTCAAACAACTATCCTCTGATGTTTACTTTCTGTTTATGTGGCTTTGAATTTTTAGCTATGTTCGGTGTTTATGAATGTTTCATGCTGTGTTTTTTTTTGCATGTAGTTCATCGTATGAATATGAACTTTTGTGTTTGGTTTTTTTATTGCTTTAGGTTTCAAATTCCAGTGCAAAGTACATTTGGGGCTTTTAGATATTCCATTTTGAAGGTGGCACTGTACAGTGCTTGTTGTGGATGCTCAAGATACTGAATGAGCATATAGTTGTTTTTTGTAGTAAAATTAGGAAATAAGTTATGGAAAAAGGTTCTTCTGAGAAACCTGTTGGAAGTGGGGTCAACTGAGACATTGTACCTCTATCTTGAAAGTGAATACATTTCTATGATAACAAAACCTTCTAATGGATTGGCTTTTTTTTAAGTATGTATTTTCATCATCACCGATGCCGCCATAAACTTAACCTTATTATCACTTGTTTTAAGCTCTTGGAAAAGCCAAGTGTGTTGAGCTAGAAAATGACATGCACAAGATACTTTGACTGCCAAGGACAAAGTGATAAAATGCATGTTTCTACTTTTAATCTTCAGCAATTAATCATCACTTTATGAAACTTACCTGCCTTGCATTTAAAAAATTCCAAGTATTCTGGGCCTGCATTTAAGGTTACCCTACATGGGTCTTGGACTGTTCTTGCTGCCACTTATCTCTTTTTCCTTTCCAACCTCCAAAAGTAATCTCCTGTAAACAACTTTTCTCCAGTTGTAACTGGTCCCAGCCTGTTCTTCAGGACTCCATCTATCCTTTGACTACCAGAGCAACTAATAAATTAATGTTGTTATGATTTCAGGAAGTGATTTCAGATATAGGCACTCCCATTTGATCTGCCAAAAAGCTTCTAGAACTCGAAAAGCATTAGCTGAATTATGTCAAAAAAAGACAAGGGATTGAAGCTGTAGTGTCTTCATGTGTTCTGATGGCAGACTCATAGTGAGAGGAGGGTTCCTATATTAAAAAGAACTTCCAAGCACTGTGGGGTGGGGGATACCAGAACCAGCAAGAATCCTGTTTAAGATTCGTTTAAATTTTGGTTGGTTTGTTGCTGTTGACTGTCTTCACAGGTGGCTAAAGCAGCCTTTCAGCGAAATAATGATCCACTTGATGCGGCCATTTTTTACCTCGCAATGAAAAAGAAGGCTGTGATCTGGGGATTATACAGGTAGGAAAGATGCAACTCTTATGGAGTTTCATACTGTCTGGGATAACTGTGGGAAAAAAGTTGAACGTAATGGTAATCCAAAAAAAGCACAAATATTACCATTGAAAGCTTAAGTTCATTTTCTGAATTAGTCACTGCATTGTATGGGTAGTTTTTAAGTGTATGCTATTTACTGAGGTTATTTAGTTGCTGTTTCTGAAGGTAGATGCTTCAAGTTTTAGTCTCAAATTCACTGTATAGTGTGGAATGAACATGGCTATCTTTTAGAAAAGTGTTTGTTTTTGTAAATTTAGTTCAGGGGACTAAATTTAGTCTGTCTTTCAAACTGGCATTTCATAATATAACATTCAACTTTTTAAAAGGTAGTTTGCATTGTCACTCTTAAAAGCTCACCTGGGAAAAATTAACTTTTCTGTATTTGTATAAAGTTAACTAAAAATACCATGAGCTTTCATATTTACTGAAGTTTTTGTTATTTTTAAATATGAAGCCTTTTATGCTCCCAGTCTGCTGAGAGCCTTTGCATTTCCTAATGAAAAGATCTGTGTAAAATTCTGCTGGCATCTGAGGAAATTAAGAGCCATAATGCATCCAGTAAAATATATAATAATTTTATCAATTATGTTCAATATGCAGGTCCCAAAAAGATACTAAAATGACACAGTTTTTTGGAAATAACTTTACTGAGGACAGATGGCGCAAAGCAGCATTAAAGAATGCATTTTCTTTGCTTGGGAAACAGCGTTTTGAGCATTCTGCAGCATTCTTCTTGTTGGCAGGACACTTAAAAGATGCAGTGGAGGTAACAAAAAAAAAAAAAACAAAAAAGTTTGACTGTTATATTGTCCCAAACTTACAAATACATTGAATGTGACTTGTGTTTTGCATTTGTATGACCCTGAAGATTCCTGGTTTGTTGTAATATTGAGGCCTACCTACGATTAACTCATTTTCGGATTGTCTGCCTTGTCGTATATGAAGACAACATAGTTTTTCATTAGGAGGTTCCAGATCTGAAAGTGAAGGCCTTTTAGCAATGATGTGGGTTGGCTCCTGGAATCCTTTCACAAAAATTATTATTTCCTGAGTCTGTTTGAATTGAAAAGTTGGGAGGAAGTTCATCTCTTTGATATTGAAGGATTTGTTCTGTAAAGCTTCATAACCAAAACGTCCAGCTTCGAGAGCTGGCGTATGCACACTGACAATTTATTGAAGCCAATTGATTTCAAAGATTTATTGTCATGTCAGACTTGAATTGAAGAAATTGCAAATCAGATCTTGCATATAATAGTTGGCTACAGCTATTCTGCGTAGTTCCAGCTAATTTTTTATGGAATTGGTAGACTTACTTACCTCAGTCTGACTGGATTAGTGTCACTTCCTGTCTTGTAATCATTTTAACCAGCAGAAATTACAATGTTTGGTCTTGTGAATATATTTATTTTCAATTAGGTCTGCCTTGAAAAACTGAATGACATTCAGTTGGCTCTTGTAATATCAAGACTTTATGAGTCAGAGTTTGAAGTATCTGCTACTTATAAATCTGTACTACAGAAGAGAATTTTGGGAAATATGTTTCCTGGAAAAGACACCTCAGGAAACATGCACTGTGACCCTTTTCTGCGAAGTATGGCTTACTGGATTTTGGAAGATTATAGCAAGGCACTTGACACTTTGATTAAACATTCTGTTGAAGGTGGAGGTAAGAATATGCATATTTTGCCTGTTAGATTGCTTTTAACTATTTGTTCATTTAAGTAGAAGTTTGTTAAAGTGTAGTCTGGAAACAAGACCAGGTACAGCACAGTTACTCACTGTTGCTGGTAAATAGCTTGCTGTAGCAATATGTGTTTTTTATAGTAAATGTGGTGACTGTTGTTGTTGTTATACTGCATCCCATGAATGGATATTTAATTTATGCTGTAAGTATGTGAATATCAAGATAATGAGAATGACTCTGCAGTGATGCAGCTGTTTTTCCGGTGGCATGTTAAAGATGAAGAGACAAATTAACTTCATTAGTTAATCTGACTCCGTCACAACCTAGGAAAAAAATTTCTGAGTGCACAGTTACATAGCAGAGACTGGAAGACATAGTATTTTGTATCTCTTAGTCCTTGGGAAGAATGGTTGACCCCAATGATAAACTACCATAGAAAAGATTGTGATATTTATTATGATAGAAGGCGGCCCACGTGGTGCCTGAAATAGCTTGTAAGTCTCAAAGTGATTCTTATCCCTGTTCACGTGCTAGCTTTATAGGCTTTCTAAGGATCAGTTGTATTATTTCCTGAAGTTAATGTTCTCAAGGAAGTTCAATGTTCTAGTCCCTGGTAGTTAGCATGCTAGCTGGTTTCTGTCCTGGCTACTGAGGGGAACTTGTTGGGGATAAATGAAGACTTGAATTACCAGAGCTGTGTATTTTATTTTCTAAACTGATTTCAGTAGAAGTTACATGCCCCAGTAAAATTTTGAGCAAATGAGGCATATAAAGTTCAGTTGTTTCCGTCTTGGTCACATCATTCTGTGTAAAATAATTTTTAAATGTTACTCATTTTTCTTTAGTGAGTTCAGTGGCTAGTTTGTGGGATTTGTTTTATTTTCTTACTTAAAAGTTGGTCACTCGTGTACCTGTTCCTATTACCTGTAGTTAGTTGTACCATAACTCCTGATAGAGGAAATAGTAATGGTCCATCTTGGCGAACCTGGGCTCTTTGAAAACTGTGTGAATCATCCTGTGCTGATGCTCGTATCTTGTCCAAGGTTTTTCGTATTGTGGTTTTGGACATGAAAATAAAAGATGTAGCTGCTGCCCTGCTGTACGATTCATGTATTTATAGGTAATAGTGATGTCAATATGTATAAATGTTGTGGATTTCTTAGTTTTATTATAAGTTGCATTTTTGTTAAGAGGTAGAAAACAAAAATTACTAATCCAAAATTTTAAAATAACTTTTTTTAAGTAAAAGTCTTTAGTAAGATGTAACATCATATTGTCATTTAGTGATGTAGACTTCAGAAGTCTAAACTGAACAGGAATATGGTCTTGCCTGACTGCACTAGAACTGTCCTGACTGCAAGGAAAAGAAAAGGCAGCTGTTTTAAATTAAAGGTCTTACCTGCTCGCATACTGAAGCTTCTCTTTTTAGTAGTGATTAAGTTTGGCAATATCCTCCCTCTCAAGGTATACAAATGATACAGCTGCAAAGGAAGGTGAAAAGGGGGGTGCAATGTAGTAAACAATAGGATGAATGTTAAGACCTAATAGCCTCCTGATGAACTTAGAACTTTGCAGATTGCTTATTTCATACAGGGTGGTAGATTTTCCTCATGATGCAATATCATTTCAGGTGATGGAGATGGCTCATCGAGTTGTAACCCTGCAGTGTTTAACTTCTATAATTACTTAAGAACGCATCCTCTCTTGTTGAGACGTCATTTTGGCTCTTCTGATACATCTTCCACACACGTTTGCCTAACAGTAGAAAATGACTTAGCTGACAAAATCAACCTAGGTGAAAGACGGCTGTTTTTCACCACTGCGTATGCTCATCTAAAAGCTGGTTGTCCAATGTTGGCCTTAGAAGTGTTATCAAAGATGCCTAAAGTTGTCAAGAGGTCAAAGTCATTCTGTAGATCCCCTAGTTTAATGAATACTAGTAAAGAGTTCTCACCATCTTCTCCGCTTAAAGAGTTGGAAATAAAAGACCAGTCTTCCAGTGTTGATTGGTCACAACCAGTATTGAATGGTCTAGGTTCATCTTCAGATTGTTCATCAGGAAAACATTCAAGTTCAACTCTTTCCTTTGACTGGAGCCAGCCAAGTGTGGTGTTCCAAGATGAACACTTGAAACTGCAGTCAGACAGTGATGAAAGTGATGAGAGTGAAGATTCTTCCCTGGTAATGAAAGACCTAAAACCTCTGAAGAAAACTGAAAAATCATATGAAACAAGTTCTAGCTACACAGAATCTTTTAGTGTAGTTGATGACAAAGATATTCTGAGTCCATCAGAAGATATAATTTCAGCACAGCTGAAGTTTAGAGCATGCCTTAAAATTCTTACAGTAGAGCTTCGTACGCTGTCCACTGGTTACGAAGTAGATGGTGGGAAGTTGAGGTATCAGCTTTATCAGTGGCTTGAAAGAGAAGTGGTAGCTCTTCAAAAGACCTGTGATTATAGTGTTGAAGAGATACAGTCAGGAATTACTGTGATGCCAGAGGAAGCTACATTACATGAAAACATTGAAGACTTAGCTGACCAGCAAAAAAATATGCTGCGGAAAGAAGACTTTCAGAAAAGACGTCAATGGCTTCTGAAATATCAGTCTCTCCTAAGAATGTTTCTTAGTTACTGTATACTTCATGGCTCTCATGGTGGAGGTTTGGCATCTGTCAGAATGGAATTAATTCTGCTGTTGCAGGAGTCTCAGCAGGTATGTAGGGGAGTTTAGTTTCTCTTTTCTCCATTTCAGTTTTGTTGTAGATTTTTCTTTTTTAGTGTGTTTCATGTTACTGTTGAAGTTTTCCTAGTATGGCATGTACCTGTTTTATAATAAAAGTAACACTGTTTCTAATATGCTATGTTTTCCTTGGGTTGCCGGTTTTTTCTTGTTTAGAATCACTTCACCTCTTTCAGAAGTTCTTGTGTTCCCTTTAGGAAGCTGTACTATTACTTTATGTGTGTGTCTCTTGCTTTTTTTTAGGAGCAGTCAATGCAGATACCTTCCAGCCCTCTACCAGAACAAAGCTGCATACCTCTCCTGTTTGCTTGCACAGCTAGTGCCAAAACAGTGGTGGCTAATCCGTTGCTACATCTTGGTAACTTAACTCATGATATATTACATGCCATAATAAACTTTGATTCGCCACCTCATCCAGATACTCAGAACAATAAGGTGTGTATATTTTTTATAGCTGTTTGGGTTTGACAACATGAATACTTCCTGATATGCCTACCTGTGACAAGTAATAAATTTGTGGGACATAAATATTTTCTATAGTACTTTTCTTGTGCTAAAATAATATCCACTGATTATTGCTTATTGCTGAGGTGCTGAGCATCTGGTTCAACAAGCTGAAGTAGATTCACCTCTCTCAAGACTGGATATTCGTCGAACATAATACCCATTATGGAAAAACATGTTGTACTGTGCTGTCAGTGTCATGTTTGTCTTCATGACAACACAAGCATTAGTTCTGTATATTAATGTTAAACTCTGCATTTCAGTCCTAGACCTAAGTAAAATTAAGTTTTGAAGTATAAAAACTGGTTGTCAACAAAGTGCAGTGAATGCGGATTTTCTTCTGAAATAGCATATATGTTCATACAGTAAAATACAGTACATTTTTTAAAGTTACATTTCTGCAAGATTTCTTATGTATTTAGCCTTGGACTGGAAACCAAACTTTAAGTGTTAGGTTAAATCTGTCCAGACATTTTGTATGTATTACGTCCCAAATTGTGTTTACTTTTACTAGGGATTTCTAGAAAACATGCAAGAGATGCTTAGTTCCTAGTCTGTGCTTCATTTCAGAAAGAGCAGACAAAGTAGTAAGATAAACTTGTTTTTTTAACTAGACCTTTTTGATCAACAGTTTCCAGCTGTTCACATGTGTTTTGTACGTTAAGAAAAGCTATGATAAAGTCATCAGTGTGATACTGAGTAAATTGTGTCTGAGCTGCACAAGAATTGATCAAAAAAATAAGCTACATTAGAATTTTCATTCTGAAGCAAAGCCTTTCTATTCTGAGCCAGCATATTTTTACTGTCTTAGGGTATAATCATAGAATCATAGAGTAGTTTGGGTTGAAAGGCAACTTTAAAGATCATCTAGTCCAACCCCCCTGCAGTGAGCAGGGATATCTTCAGCTAGATCAGGTTGGTCAGAGCCCTGTCCAACCTGACCTTGAATGTTTCCAGGGATGGGGCATCTACCATCTCTGTGGGCAATCCATTTCAGTATTTCACCACCCTCATTGTTAAAAAAACTGCTTCCTTATATCCTGTCTAAATCTACTCTCTTTTAGTTTAAAACCATTACCTTTTGTCCTGTCACTACAGGCCTTGCCAAAAAGACTGTCCCCATCTTCCCTATAGGCTCCCTTGAAGTACTAAAAGGCTGCTATAAGGTCTTTCCACAGCCTTCTCTTCTACAGGCTGAACAGCCGCAACTCTCTCAGCCTTTGGTCATAGCAAAGGTGCTCCATTTCTCTGATCATCCACCAGTACCCCCAAGTGCTTCTCCCTCAATCCCTTCATCCCCCAGCCTGTATTGACACCAGGGGTTGCCCCAACCCATGTGCAGCTTCATGAGGTTCAAACAGGCCCACTTCTCAAGCTTGTCCAGGTCCCTCTGGAAGGCATCCTGTCCCTCAAGTTTGTCAACCACAGGTTTCAGCTTGGCGTTGTCTGCAAACTTCTGAGGATGCACTCAATCCCGCTGTGTATGACATTGATGAAGATACTGTATCAACAGTACTGATCCAAATACGGACCCCCGAGGGACACCTCTTTTTACCAGTCTTCACGTAGACGTTGAGCTGTTGACCACTACCTGCTGGATGTGACCATCCAACCAATTCTGCATCCACCAAACAGCTCACCCATCAAATACCAATCTCTCCAATTTAGAGAGAAAGATGTTGTGGGGGACTGTGTCAAAGGCCTTAAAGAAGTCCAGACAGATGATATCTGTAGCTCATCCCTTGTCCACTGATGTAGTCACCCCATCATAGAAAGTCACTAGGCTGGTCTGGCAGGAGTTGTCCTTGGTGAAGCCATGCTGGCTGTCTCATATCACCTTCCTCTCCTCCATATGCCTTAGCAGAGCTTCTAGGAGGATCTGTTCCATGATATTCCCAGGCGCAGAGGTGAGGCTGACAGGTTGGTAGTTCCCAGGGTCCTCCTTTCTACGCTTTTTAAAAATGGGCACAATGTTTCCCTTTCTACAGTCACCAGGGACTTCACCTGACTGCCATGACCTTTCAAATATCGTGGAGAGTGGCTTTGCAGCGATATCGGCCAATTTCCTCATGCCTCTGTCCTATAGACTTATGTATATTCAGGTTCCGCAGGTGGCCCTGAACCTGGTCGTTTTTTACAGTGGGAGGGGCTTTACCTGCCCTGGTCCCCATCTTGCAGTCCATCCGCTGGGGAGGGGTGAGGAGAGAGGTTGCCAGTGAAGGCTGAGGCAAGAAAGTTGTTGAGTACCTCAGCCTTCCTCCTTGTCTGTTGTTACCAGTTTGCCAGTCTTGCTCATCATGGGGTGTATGCTTTCTTTGATGTTCCTTTTCTGGCTGGCATACCCATAGAAGCGCTTCTTCATGTTCTTTGCATCCCTTGCCAAATTAAGCTCCAGCCACTCTTTGGCCTTTCTGACCCCCTCCCTACACAACTGGGCAGCGTCCCTATACTCTTCCCGGGATACTGGTCCCTGCTTCTACTGCCTGTGCAATTCCCTCTTTAGTTTGACCAGCAGGTCTTGACTTGGCCATGTTGGTCTCTTGCCTTCCTTGTGTGATTTTTACACTTGGGAGTCTGAGAGTTCCTGTGCTCTATGGGAAGCATCCTTAAAGATCTGCCAGCTCTTTTCTGCTCCCTTGTCCCTGAGGACCATTTCCCAGGGGGGCCTGTTGACTAACTTCTTGAAGAGCTGCAATTTTGCTTTTCTAAAATCGTAATCATAAAATCATAATCACTTATGATTGTTTGTATAGAGGTTTAATATGTTGCTGTTTCTTAGTTGAAAACATGGCAGCTTATCTGTAGTTATGGGTTGGTGGGGTGAGCAAGTGCCTCCACATTCCTTTCATTGCAAAGTGAATTGATTTATCTGAAATGAATTCTGAAGAGACAGTGGCTTTGAAAGTGATTTTTGCCATGAGTACTTGTACATTCCATGTTCAGTGCTTGTTTCATTGTTACAAATCTGTATGCTTGAAAGACTGTGATACTAAACACTCTTCATCTTGAGTGTAATATGTTCTATAAAACTTTGTCTTACAGATATATGTGATGCATACCTTAGCAGCGTCGCTCTCTGCTTGCATCTACCAGTGTCTTTGTGATGGCCACAGCTACAGGTAAAGGTCTATGAAAAGTACTTTTTAGAGTATGTTCAACGCACTGTCTCGGTGTGGTGATGGTATAATAGATAGTGCGCTAGAAGGCAGTGCGCACACCTGCCTACATCTAGAAAGGGTTATCGCTTGTAGTTCTAAGCGTAACTTTTTATTAATAAATACAAAATCCCACTTCTCTGTTTCACAGCTCTTTTCAAGCAAATCAGTTCACTGGAACAGTGTATCAGACAGAGCTATTAACTCAGCGCCATTCTGTAAGACCAACTTTAGAAGAAACAGTGACTCCCAATACATCACCTGCTCAGTGGCCAGGTATGTAGAGTTGAATTGTTTCTTTCCTCTTAAGGAAAACTTATTGTCTGGATCCACTGTAAGAGCACATAGCTATGCTCTGGAGTTTCAAGTAGTATTGTAACAGCTGCATGGTAAAAATAAGTTCTTACAATAAACTCTTATTTTCATTTTTCAGAAACTGTAAGCTAGTAATTTTGATTATTCACTGTCAGGTTGATGTATATTGCTTACTCTTGCTAAAAATTTTAGTGGGGTCTCTAGTAAAGGGCAAGTAAATGGAAAGTAGGGTGAAGCATTGTCCTGTGCTCTACTTGCTCCCTCTGCAGGCAACAGATCAGTCTCACCATTATTCTACTTGGTTACTCTTGAAAAGGACTTGAAAGGCTATCTTGGTTTGTGCTCCATCTCTGAATGATTGTAGCTTATGTACAACTTATGAACTAACTTGAAACTATGGACAATGAGAAGTTTATGATGAGCTATGTTTTTCTGTAGCTTTAAAATCCATGTAGAGCTTCAGGTAGTTCTTCGCGTGTGCTGGCATCTGTCCACACTGGTCACATTAGAGGGAGTATGAGTTACATAATATATGTCTGTATGAGCTTCAGTTTACAGCACTAACTTTAATATAAGCGTAACCAAGAAATATGCTTTGATATTAAGGGATTTGTTTTTTCAATAAGAAAATTTCACATTTAAAAAAAAATCTTTTGGAGAACCAGAAGCAGTCTGTGTTTGCTATACTGTTTTTTTCTTTCCCACAAAACATTCTTTCACTAAATATACAGATTTTAGAGAGAAATCAGATTGTTGCATCTGGTCAGATGTTTTCTCCTTATTGCATTAGTTGCAGAGTTTAATTTCTAATGAACGAGACAAGGGATTATTACCAGTTGTGCTTACAGGTAACATCACCTTGAAGTGGTTTTGTTTTTTTGATAGCTTCACATGCCTTATGTGCAAATGGGAGAGTATGACATAAAGCAGAATTCTTTGGCCACTGCTATGTGTATTTTCTCTTATGTGCACAAAGTGACACAGCTGAAGCGGCATTTGAAACTCTATAACTTTTTGTGGAAGCATAAAAACACTGCAAGATGTTTAGTACTTGGGTGAAAGAACGCTTGTCAGACAATGCACAGTTCAAGTTGATGTCCATGATTTTTGGTTAGTTTTATCACTGTAAAATGAGAATATAGCATTTCAACTTACAATGTTATGCTGGAGCTATAAACCTCACTGGTGAAACAAGGAACACAGAAAGTCAATGTGCAGATTAGTATTTTAAGTTACAAGATTTGGATTCTGTGTATTGAATATACTGTGAGACACTGGATTAGAAGTAGAGAACAAAGAGCTAACCCTTTGCTGAAAGAATTGAGGAGCCAGAAAATAGTGAGCTTGAGACATGGGGGAAGAAAGATTCATTTAAATAAGGTAACTAAATGTTGTATCGTAGAGTTTTGGTACCAGGGATTTGAAGTAAAGCTGCCAGTGTTTTATTTAAGATATATCAAAATATTTGAGTTCTTTTTTGTGTTTTTTTTCCTCTTATTCTTGAATAGTTGCTATGTATTTCCTTAACTGTTGGTCCAAAACATGAAGCTGTTAAAGATAAATAGCATGCCACTTCCTCTGCATTTTTTAATGTCGTCTAAAACTTAGAATTTCTCTGCAGTGTAAGGTACTAAATAATGTAAGTTGCCAGTCAAAATATCCATGGTAATTCAAGCCAGGTCTCTCTGTTTTACTTTGTGAAATTTTAACTGCGGTCTATCTGAGTCTGTTCATCCATGGCCTGGCAACACATTCTAGCAATGAGTTATATAGAATTATGGCTCATCCACTTAACAACAAAATGTGGTCTGCTGTCTTTGGAGGAGGAGCTCATACATCCAGCAGAGGACAACTGCAATTGAAGACAAAAGCTGGTTGGTTCTATTGTTTTACTTATGTTTGTCTTCTGAGATTTTTAAGAAAATGATGTGACTGCTGAAATTCTAAGATTAATTGCTTGAAATAGTTCATATCCAGTAAGAACTCTCGAAGTTTTTAGATATGCAAAGAAAAAAAAGGATCTAAAATTACTAGCTTAAATATTGTATAGAAAAGAGTAGGAAGCAGAAGGGAATGTTATTGAAATAAGGTTTCCAAGTAGCACACCTTCTGTAATGTGAGGTCATTAAGTTAATATTAACAAGAGAATTTTTGGTACTATTACGTCCTAGTTTTAATGTTCATTTTAAAACTTTCCAATTCTCTGATAATAGGAATGTATTCCCATGTTACAAATACAGTATGTTTTCTCTCTTTGGCAGGTAGGCACTTCCCAATGCCTAGCCCACATCAGGTAGTAGTGTTCTCCATGGAATGTGTGGGGTTTTCCAAATCGCTTACCGCCTTCAGTACTCATAGTCCTACCAAATCTTCAGGCAAGATCCTAGATTTAGTACTAGGCCTTGACATACAGTTTGCTATGTGTGATATTTAAATTTTTTTTGCATATGTAGAAAGACAGAAAAACTTCTGTTTGAAAGCCATGACATCAAAATTTAAAGCAAAGTTTTGTAACTAAAGCAGCAGTTGAATTGGGCTTTTTTAAAAAAGAAAATTGGCGTTGTTGTTGTATTCATATTACACTTCATTTGAAATCAGTGTTAATTATAAACCATCTTCGACCATGGTTTGAAAGGATCAGAAGTGTTTCGTATCTTTGTTGGAGAGCTGCTTGTTTTGCTTTTTGAATATAAGCATTATTATGCATGTGGATTTCTAAGTGTTCATTCTAGACGACACAAAGAAAAGATGTCTTGTTGATACCCAATTTAGCCTGAGAATTGTTTAGAAAAGCAAACAACCTTCAAGTTTTAAATTCAGATGATTATAAATTATTCTGAGGTCCAGAATGAATTCTGTAATGCTTTTCTTTTTGGTACAGATTTATGCTTTTGTAATTTAGACTTCCGTAAAACCAAGAACAACAGTCCTACAGATTATCTAATCTTTTAAAAGGGAGATTTTGTAAAGATAAATTTACTTGAACTATGGTGACTTTGTACATCACATCTGAAAATACATATAAATGTAACTTAAGCTATGTAATTTTTGTAAGATCATTATTATGATATTAGATATGTTGATAGAAAAATATTTTAACCTTGCATTTGAGGAAAACTGGAGATGTAGTCTGTTTGGATACAGACTTTGTCAGACATTTAGAAAAGTATTTTCAGAGTAGAGATCTTTAATCAAAAATTCTTATTCTAGATCTGATCCATTTTCTCTGAATAAAGTATTATTTATGTTATATTTATTGACTAAGTATTTCTCATTATGATATTGTTAAGGTAAATATATTTGCCATATCAGAATTGTTGGAAGGCATAACTGGCTATTGTTGGCAATTCTAAGTTTCCTAGGTGTTGGTAACTGTACAGTGAGATGTGTTAATGCTGCTGCTACTACTGCTTTAAAATGATAGCTGTTTTTGCATAGAAATGTTTTCTGAAATGTGTACTAAATACTTGTGTACTGCATGTTTTTTAAAAAAATGAATGTTGGCTGTCTGATTGCAGAATTAGTAAAATTGTTGCTGGAAGAATCATAAAGCTGAAATGGAAAATTTAAGGAAGAAGGACCTATTTAGATACTATTTTGTAGGCATAATCAGCTGCTGGATAAGGGGCCTAGAGGGGTTGTGGAGTCTTCATCTTTGGAGTTACACAAAACTTGAACAAACTTGGCTATCACCTAAGTCAGCCCTGTTCTGAGCAAGGGGTTAGATCGGGTCCCTGCTAACCTAAGTAATTCTAGGATACTGTAGGTCTATTTTTTTAAATGCTTGTTTATCTAGAGTAAATTTTGGGGAAAGAATTTTGAAGAAACGTCTTTCTCTGTCACTTTAAAATAAAAAAAAAAGAGGGGGGGAATAGCAGAGGAGTTGGAATAAAATCAGCTGTGTTTTTGTGCCTTTACTGTCATCTCTTATTTTTTCTTCTGACACGGAGAAACGAACACAGAGAAGTAACGTTATGCTTGTTCCTGTCAGCTGTGGCACGTTCTTCCACGATCCAAGTCTAGTATGATTTAGACTTTGTATAGCTTCCTATTTTGTTACGCATGACTAGACTTTTTTTCTAAAGTTTATTTTTATTTTTTTGCGAAATATTTTCCCTCTAAAATGGAGAATAAAAGCCTAGAATTTTTAGTGTTAAGAATTTTAATATACCACTATGTGTCCTGCATGTTGTCTTCTCCTTGTTCCCCCCTCCCCAATCCTTTAGCACTTTATATGAATATGGATGTTGATCTCCAAGTTTAAAACTTGTTTTAAGAGATTATAGTACTACATACAGTGCTGGACAGTAAAATTATGTGATTTCTCTTTCTGCTCGTTGCTTTGGTTGACTTGAGCATATAATAACTTTGGATATAAAATTTATCTTAAATACAGTTTTTCTTCTAGACACAAACTGAAAAACAGGAACCAAAAATAGTTCCTGGTAGTGTTGTAAAAATCCTGACTTCTACTAGGAATTAGTTTGTATGAATAACTATTGGTTTATTGCCTCTTTCACAGTAAAGATCAGACAAAGCATAATGATTTAAGTGCTTTCTAGAGCTGCCTGACATTTTATGCTTTCTGGACATGTTTCTTTTTTTTACAGTTGCAGCAAATGATTTTGATAAACTGGGTTAGCATTTGAGAATTTACACTGTCTTAAAATTGTGCATGTGCTTTGTTTTCGAAGGCAATTAGCATATGAAAAATAACTCTATTGTTGATTATAGTAGATCTTTTCAGAATCAGATTTACCATATAGTTTCTCTTCAAAACTGTCTCAGAAAACTGGTTTGTAACTTAAGTCTATATAGACATTGTCAGTTCTCTGTAATCTAGAGGGTTCTTAAGGAAAAATTTGAGTTTTGCTTTAACACTTAGATATCCATCATTTCATTTGATGTATTCCATTATTGCATGCTACGAGAGTAAATTAAATGCACAACTACTTCCAAAATTTGAGTCTCTTACAAGTGCACTTTGTAGACTTAAAGTTGTCAGTTTGGGTTTCAGATGCAGAAAATCAGAAATATAATAATGCTTGACTGTAGAGGCAAGTTATTTTTCTCTGCTAATTGTCCTAACTTTCCAAGCAATTAAAAAGTTTTAACACGAATATTATTTCTCAGTCTTGTCTGTTGTAGTTGTACTTTGGTAGGGAGAAATGATAAACTGTCAGCTCTTACTGTAATAAGTTTTCCCGAACACGCCAGAGGTTTTGAGAAACATATGCCTTCATAATGAGGATGTGTACCTAAAATTTATCCATAGGATGTGCAGTCCTACTGTTAGTCTTACCCATGTATTTCTGTTCTTAGATCATCAGAATTAATTTTTAGTATTCGCTTGTTCTCTACAAACCATTGTTCATGACCTCATAGAAAACATACTGTTCGACAATTACAGATTTTATAAGTGTCTGACTTAAAGTAACAGAGCATCTAAGCAGAAGAGTATTTTAGTGTTTGTCCAAGTTTTGCTTAGGCAATTGTAAAGATAAAACAAACCCTTAGAACTCTTGCATTATCTCCTTGCAAAAACTGAACTTGCATTAGTAGTGCTTCAGACTAGAAACTTTCCGCTTCAGACCAGATGCAACAGTGCTATGTATCTGCTAGTCAGTTTCACCATCAAATCAGGAACAAGAGTGAAAAGTCTTCATTTTTAGACTTTATCTCCAGAAATGGTTTGACCTCAGAATAGATAAAAGGATACGGTTTCCTCCTTCCAGCTTGTGTAAGGACCCACCACAGCTGTGCCAAACTTCTCCTTTTTGATACAGAATTGCCTGTGATACTGTTACTAGTAGAAACTTTGGTATCAGTCTGAGAATATTTGCCTTGAATTCCAGCTTAGAATTAGAGACTGCAGGGTTGGGCTTGTTTTCTTATGGTAGTTTGGAATACTGAGTACCCCATTATGTGTATGTATGGCCTTTCTATTCTACATTAAATCTTTGTCTTTTCACTGTTACTGTCTTATTCTTGGTCAACTGTTAAAACAGATTAGAAGTTTGACTTGAAGTGTTTGAACTGGGAATGATGGAGTTATTTTGGCTTGGTTGAAGAAGGCTTAGATGGTCAGAACAGGAAATGTCAACAAAGTTTGTGGGTGCCACTGAGTATTTCTTTGTGCTTGTCTAACTTTTTAAGAGATTTCCATTCACTGTTTCTTGACATGCCCACAATGTATGTAATGTCTTCAGAAGTCTGAGAGTTTAGTGTATGCTTGCTTTGAGCTTTTCAGTGAATCGCTACTCATTAAATGGTGCGTAAATACAACAAGGAATTTACAGTCTTGTGTACGTATAGTAGTCAAATTGCAGCTTATGAAACCTAATTGCAGTTGCTGCTGTTGAGTGCGGATTCATTACATTTGTCATCTTGGCCACAAAGGCTGTCGCCTGTGAGGAAGCAGAATATAATGTTGAAAACTTCAGGATTTGTAACCTTGCAAAATGCAATTTCTTTTATATTTGAAGTCAAAATGTCCAGCAGTGTAGACTTTCAGCAGACTGCTGTTCTAGTTGGCTTTCATAATTTCCCAAAGGATTACAGAAATCTGTGCAGGGCTTTACACTTACTAAAATGATTTGAGGAGTGATTCAAAATCAGTGTTTCTTTGTCATATCTCTGTCATTCTAGTCTGTTCTGGGCTTCAGCAGTGCTAATATTTGTTGATGCCTGCAGTCAAGGATAATGCTTTTGTAAGACGAGAACTTCATAATTTTGCATCTCTTAATGAAGACTTGCATTTTTTGTAGGGTGTTTGGGTATCGATGCTTCATGCGTGCACACAACCTTCAATAAAACACAGTAACTCTGACTTGCATTTTAGTTTTCTGGGAAATTGAAAGAGATCTACCTTTTAGCTCCTCCTGGGAAGATGGAATGGAGGTGACATGGGCAACAGGTCTTTGGAATATCATTGCATGTGTTAGATCTTGGCAAAAAAAGAAGCATTTTCCTTGTCTGAAATATTCCAGTATTCTTGGGAAATACCATAAATGTTCCTTTTGCCTTACAAGTAAAATGAGACTGAAGATAAATATTTTCCATGCAAAAACCATGTAAAAGAGTGTTAACTAGAAATTTATGAGAAATTTGAAACTGAATATAGTCGGTGATCTGAAATACCAAATGACAGTTAGATTTTTAATGAATTTGTTAATTTATTTAAGAATTTTTAGAATGCAAAAAGGAAATTTGCATTAGTGGTATGTGTTTCAGACCACTTAGATGGTTGTACTTTTGTTTGTCTTAAATACTGAATTTTTTTCCAGTGGCTAGCCTGCAGTGTTCTTAGAAATACAAAGAATGATCCAACAGAATGAGTAAAAACTACTTTTTTTAAAGTAAAGCATTTGCTTTCTGAATTCCGCTTAGAAAAACAACCTGCAAGCATATACTTGCTTATTTCTGTATCATGCAACACTTGCTCCTTATTTTATGCACAGTGAATTTCTTTTTTTTTTTAAGCAATTGCTAAAAATTCATACTGTGATGTATGCATGCTCTTTCTTAGCTGATGAGCTTTAAATAATGAAATGAAAATGTGCTGTACTGCAGCTATTACATTGCGACTTTTGGTACAGGTAAATGGATTTCAAATAATATCCCTAAAAGGAAAAAAAAATTATGATACTGTATAGTAGTGTAACACACTCTTAAAATACCCCAGTTTCAAGATGAAAGATGAGATGTTGCCTTCAGCTTTTACTTCATTCTGTATAAAAATTATTTTATAGTTCAGTTGGTTGTAGTGGTAATGAACATCTTCATAAGTGGTCAAAAATGTTTTTGAAAATCCTTGGAAAAGTGTGGGATTTTCTGGTCCAAAAATGACCAGAAATTATGAACAAATTCTATCAATCACAAAGAATACCAAGAATTTGTCCATCTGGAGAAAAAAAAAATTCATAGCTGTGAGGTATTAAAAAACCAAAAGGTGGTGGTTTTTTTTAAATCAGCTTAAATCTTACCTCCCTCAGGATTTACAGTTGGCTCCATTTGTGTTAATGAGCATGTAAGTCTAATGTGTGGAATACAACTGTTCTTAAATGAGTGCTGTTTTTCTTTTGTCCAGAGTGCTAGACCTTCGGTTTTCAAGTGATTGGAGTACCCATAAGAGTTTTGAAGGAAATAGTCTTTCACTCAAAAGTCTCCTGTAGATAAAACATGTAAACAACAACAACAACAAAAGGGTATAGGAAATACTTCTTTCCAATAGTTCATACTTCACAGGGGTGGGTGCTGTCTCTTTTTGTGCCATCCAAAGCATTATTAACAGGAGAAAGTAATACCAGAAGCTTCAGTGGAAGTTAGTTTTGTGGGCCCTTGGTAGCAGAAGATAAGGAAAGTTTAAATCAGTAAGGCATCCGTTTATGTTTGTGGTGTTCATATTAGTTCATCCAGTCTGGCCCAACGTGTTGATGCTTGAGCTCAGTGATAGGGATATCTAATCTTAGTGTTGGCTCTTTCAGCCTGCAGATTTGCGTTCTTGCAGCCTATTTATTATTGCTGTTACAACAGCCAAAGACTCAAATCATAAGGCAAGCCATATTCCTCTTACTTAAGAGGTATTTAGATGAGGTTTTTTTATGACTAGATGCCTGGTCTCATTGCTCTATACAAAAAAACCCCAAACAAAACCTCACTTAATTAAACAAGAAACGACTAAGAAGCTTTCCTATGCTCTTCTTCCCCAACTGCTTTTTTTTTTTTTTGTACTTAAAAGCAGTGAGGTAGAACATAAGTGTGTTCTGTGATGGTTTTGGGTGCTATCATATTTTTCAAACCTTAACTGGAAAAGGGAGATTTTTGAAGTGCTTAAGAAAAAGTAAATGTTCAGTACTCAGTTAAATAGCTGTTGAAATTTTTGGGGACTTCAAAAGGCAGTTCAAAAAATTGACTCCCTTTTTAATCTTAATGCGTTACCTAAGTCTTGAACCCGTTCTCTTGTTGCACTGTAGAAACTAATCTCCATACATTATGTGTATCTACTTGAAAATAAAAAAGAAGTTTTACAATCAACTAGAAAATGGATTCAAGTCCATTTTGTCCCTAATGAAAGATGAACGAAGGCCACCATGTTTTATCAAATCTCTAAATACAATTCCTGTTCTCCCTTATCCCTTCCACTTCAGAAGTGTTCTGGCTCTCCAGGACACTGACTTACTGCTCGGAGACAGTGACAATTGGTATCATTCCTCCTTTACTAACAGGAAGGCTGTCTTGGGATATAATTCACCTACCAAGAAATGGAATGATTTCAGGTTATCAGATGCTTATGTGAGCCTCTTTTTAAGTAAGTCGTTACTTTTTCCGTATTTGTGAAGTCTACACTTCTCAATTATCAAGAAAATAAGGGATCTGAAATGAGGCTTGCTTGTTCATTCATTTGTGATGTAACTGCATCAGTGTTAGAAGACACGAAGATGTTTCTGATAGCTTGGATAAGCTGTTTGCTTGAGTAATCATGAAGAACATAATTCAAATAAATCTCTTGTAGGCACTTTTTACTCTGAAAAAAGTCTGTGCTGTGGGAAATGAGGGGACCCTTTAACTCCTAGGAGTCAGAGTATTATTACAAATAATTAATCCTTCCCTGTTCAATAAGCTATATACTGGGTTGTATTAGTTCAAATGGGATCTTTTATGCTGGAGAAATACATGGTCAGGACATCTGGATTTATCTGAATTGTACTGTTTAGAAGAAGATACGGACCTCTGCAAGGAGACACTGAATTAAAATTAGCAGTAGGAATGGCAAACTTACATGTTCACACTGTATATTCTGATAAACAAGACTCTTTGATTGTCTTAAAAAAGAAAATATGATGAGTATTCTGTAGTGCTTACTAAAAAACTTCAGTTTTGCAGTGCTGTTGCTTGAGCAACAATATTTGTCATCTTTGTTGCAGGAAGAAAGCTTTTTATGCAGTTTTGAGTGTAGTCTACTATTTTGTATTATTTGTGCTGAGTGTTTTCCCCTTCTGGAGTTCTGGTTATGTATAGTTTTGCATATTTGAGGATTAACATTATCTGTGTTTACTTGCTAAGGTAAAATTCTGAAAATTTGTAATGAAGATTTTTACTTTCTATTATAAATCCCTTTATTAAGAGCAGTACGGAGGTGGAGCGGACAATTTAAAGCAACATACTATATTTTCTTCCTCTGTAGATGATGGAGAGAAACAGCAAAAACGTTACAGGCTTTCATCAAAAACCTCTCCAAAAGAGAGTTCTCAGTCCCCTGCATTGCCATTGGTAGACCAAGAATCTCCATCTTACAAAGAAAGATTTATTCCTCCTGAGCTTAGCATCTGGGATTATTTTATTGCAAAGGTAAATATTTGCTGTTATGACAGTTAAATATCTTCTGTCGTTTCTGTGGTGGTAATTTTTTTTCTTCTTAGTCTTTATTCTGTGTATTGATGTGTGATAGAAGCTGCCTGGTTTTATTTCTCATATTTAGCTTTTTCTAAAATAGTGCTTATAGATATTTTTGAAACAGCTTTCTTAAAAACTGTTGTTATGAAATTAATTTATTTTCAGATAATGGTATGAACAAAACGTTGCTTTTTACAGTTGCAGAGTACAAACATATAGGTAATTATGGATCAGCTATTTAGATAACAAGGAAATGCAGGAAGCTTTTTATCAGCTGTTTCAAATGGGAGAAATGAATGTGTATACTTAAGAGAAATCAGATTACGTTGCTTTCTGTCAGTTCTGCTGTGGCAGGCCTTTCTTTGTAGACAGTTACACAATTGTATGGAGTTGTATGGCATGTTTCTCTATCAAATATTAGCCATATCAGCAAAATAAATACGAAAGCAGTATTTTAGGAGCAAGGACAAAAAAGAAATTGCAAATACTAAATAGCACAGTGTGGCACTAGTGGTGGACTTACCATAAACATTGAACTCTGTAGGCAGAGGGTAGGATTTTCTTGTTCTTTAGTCCTCTGAGCCCTTTGAAGAACTACACAGAAAATACACTGGTGGTTTTGTCTTCTCTCTGACAGATAAGATTGTGTGTTCTACATGTTTGATACATCTGATGCGAAAGTAAAGCAAAACAAGAATTCGCAGACTCAGTATTTTCATTTTCAGCATTAGAATTTTGAGTAAAGTAAAAAATACAGTATGCAGTGCTTATGGACAGTTATACTTTTCATGAGATACAAATTCAAAATGTTACTAAAGTAAGATTATATGTCTACTCTTATAAAAAGCATTAAATATTATAATAATGTATTTTAAAAAACATAATTTCAAACTATATGTTGGCTAGAAGGTATTCAAGGAATATTATTTAAATTTTTAGCCTTTTCCTCCTTCACAAAGTAGAGTGGAATATGATTCAGAAGAGAGTCAGGAAAGTGGTGAAGATGATGAAGATATTGATGGAGATGTGTTTGCATCAAATTCACATAATCAAGAGCATTCTAATTCAAATTCATACAGGTAAGTAACTGCTTAGAATGCAAGATGTTCTGCAGTGGCTAGACTTGCATTTCTGGCCTTTGACTTTTGACATAGTGCACCAGTTACTTGGTATTTCATGGCAGCGCATTATCTAGACTTAATTAATTTTTCAAAATGGTTATTTTACTCATTTTATTAATACATGATATAGTGACTTAAATTAAAAGTATCTGTAATATTCTAAAATACTGTTTGTAGTTATCAGCTATTTATAATGCAGATTTAAAGCTCCAAATCCTAATTGTGAATAAGTGAGGAAAAACTTATTTTCATATTAGTAAATGACTTACTAGTGCTTTCTTGTTAGTTGGTCACTGATGAGATTGGCAATGGTTCAGCTGGTACTTCACAATTTGAAGACTTTCTACCCTTTGGCTGGACATGATCTTTCAGGTAATAAGCAGCTGAGTTGTCTTTTCATGCTTAATAACCACATTTAAAATCAGTAATGTCTTGAATAATATATATATTGTAGCTTTATTTTTAGTTCAAAAGTTCTTAGTTTTTCCATGATCTGGGAATAATTGTTCTGACACTGTTTATCACACAGATATGTTTATGAAATAACATGGCAATATCTCTGCATACTTAGTTTTTCTTTGCCTCTTAGTTGTACAAGAACGTTTACAATATTTATTTCTTGGTGGAAGACCTGTATTTTTTTTGTAATTAAAGTCACATCATTCTTACTCATTCTTACTCATTGTTTCATAGAATCATGGAGTCATAGAGTCATGATAGTTTGGGTTGGAAGGGACCTTTAAAGATGATCTAGTCCAAAGACCCCTGTCATGAGCAGGGACATCTTTCACTAGATTGTGTTGCTCAAAACCCCATCTGACCCGGTCTTGAACACTTCCAGGGATGAGGCATCCACAATCTCTCTGGCAACCTGTTCCAGTATCTCACCATCCGTGTTGTAAAAATTTCTTCTTATATCTAATCTGGTCCAAATCTACTCTCTTTTAGCTTAAAACCATTACTCCTTGTCCTGTTGCTACAGTCTTTCTCCATCTTTCTTGTAAGTCCTCTTGAAGTATTGAAAGGCTGCAATAAGGTCTCCCTGGAGCTCCCCTTCTTAGGCTGAACATCCCCAGCTCTCTCACTCTTT